ACGTTGCCAAAATCCAGGATTGCATTTTACTCCGCAGATCCATCTTACAGTTTCCTTTTATAACGAATGGGAACAAAATGCAGTGGTGGAGGGAAATTGAGGGCAACATACAGATGATTTTGGCCCCGGGTTATGCGTGTGGTGGAGGAGAGCTCGTTGCGTCTCGTTGTGGTTAGTTAGTTATGTGGCACAGGCAGAAAGTACAGCTGTTTATAGCTCCCGAAACAGAGGCAAAATGCAGAGCTGGCCATATTCTACTCCCCCAAAATCACGTAAAAACACACCCACACAGATACTGTAGGTCTGAGGGGCATTTGTGTGTGCATGTACATGCGCACCACAAACAAAACCTGTGATTATACCCATTCAGACACACACACACACACACACACACACACACACACACACACACACACACACACTGTAATTACATACAGTGACGCACTACAGCCCGCCATACCGTGAATTCACACTTATAATATTGGCTCATAAATGAAACATGCCGAGGCATAGAGGGTGATTACATATTACTGTTAAAGGTTAGGATAAACATAGATGCACATTTAAACACACACCAGCTCCAAAACTGAAAATAGGCACACAGCAGTCTAGCCTCTGCAGCTACAGTATGTCCTGGAGTTTGTTGTGTGTATAGGGGACTTGTAAAAAGGGCCCCTAGGGTGGGCTCTGGTGCCGCCTTGGGGGTGGGGTGTGTGTTTATTTAAGTATGTGTATGTGTGCTTTCTGTAGTCACGCTGAATTTAGGGGGCTAGCCTCAAGATAAGAAATGGAGTTTAAGATGAAAGGAAAATGGGGCGAGGACGGGGATACACTGGCACAGAGTTTGTGGATCGGGGGGGGAGACGAAGGGGGGCTGAAGGGGTGGGACAGATAGAAAGGGGAGCCTGGAGGAGCAGACTGTTTTGATGTTGGTTTTTTAGGGTTGTTTATTTGACGTTACATAACACCTTTGCTTATGTAGTTAGAGCTCGTATGTGTGTGTGTGTGTGTGTGTGTGTGTGTGTGTGTGTGTGTGTGTCTGGTAGCTTCTCACTGGGAGATGGGAATTTCTGTGAAAGGCAAAGGTTGCCCATAGCAACGGCCCTCATTGTAAAACTGATCCTTGGAATACACACTCACACCATGCCTGCACTGAAACGTCTTTTCAGTACTTTTCGACACTTTTGTCGGGTTTGAGATCACCAGGCCTTCACACACACGTTTACTCTGGAAGCGTGAAGAACACACACACACACACACACACACACACACACACACACACACACACACACACACACACACACACTCTCTCATCTCTCCACTTTGTGAAGCCTATATCCTCGGTGTGTTGAGGCCCCGAACGACTTCAAGTCAATTTCATTTTCAGGAGGTACATATAGCGTTTCAGCTCCACCTCATGCTGAGATGTGATGGACTGAGATGCTCGGGTTTCTAGATTCCATTATTCTTTTATTGGCTTTTAGAGGCATCAGGTTTCTTCTGTCTGGAGCCGGGGAGGAGCTTCTGCTTCTTTGTGTGTGTGTGTGTGTGTGTGTGTGTGTGTGTGTGTGTGTGCAATTAGTGTCACACAGGCTAGCAAAGACACAGCTCTATAGGGCCCGAGGATGGACTTAAGATTGCTGAGGAGATAAGTTTGTTTTGGTCACATTTTCAGCAGTGGACTGACTGTTTTCCAATACCTGCAGCAAAACTGAGCCCTTTGTTCTTGGCTTTAAAACATTGTACTACTTAGTGTGTATCGAGCTAAATCTAGGTACAAAATGCAGTGATGGAAGAAGTTTTCAGCTCCTTTACTTAAATAAATAAGTGCAACTTATATAAGCGTATATAGAAACTTGAAGCCGCCAGTGCACATCCACCGAGAATGGACTTTACAGTGAAGTAGGAGACATCTTGTGTCAGGAAGCAGGAACAATTTGCTGACATGATATAACCTTTATCGTTAAGCATATTATTTTTTCTAAACACATGACTGGAGGGGATCTCTATGTGAAAGTACAGAAGTAAATATTATTAAAGCTGCTCTTTTCAATATTATATATTAACAACATTACTTCTACGAATGGAGTCACACCTAGTGATGAACCCACAAAAAATTATCATCCAACTCTTTCAACTCATTGTTTTGGTTTTCCACCCACAACTTTACTGTTTTTGTTTCCAGCCACAGCAGGCAGCTGTTTTCAACAACAAAAGCTCTGATAAACCCACTGCACACTACCTGCTCAGCACCACACAGCAGACAGACAAAGCTAGAGACTAGCTGGTGAACAGAGTGGAGCATTCAGCAGCTTTAAGAATTACTGGAGACCAAAAACAATGAAATGAAGGAGAGTGAATATTGGACTTCCATTCATCAGGTGGACAGAAACACCACTTCTAATGAATGCTAAACAACTGTTGGCTAACAAGTTCACCGTATCAGCTTTATAATGTGTTGTGTTTATAGCTTGTTCTGCCCAAGTGGCCAAAAAAGAAAGATTCATGCAGCTATAAATTGTCAAAATTAAAAGTATTCATTATGCAGAATTCCCCCTGTAGAGTGTTATGATATGATAAACTTACTGCATATTTAAAAAATATTGGCCAAACTAGTAGAGGTGGAGATAATTTGGTACTAGTACTTACTGTTCGGCAGTTTCATCTATAATATACATGTTTGTATTTTCTGCAAGTAAAATCTTAAACTGCAGGTGCCATGTCATTGGTAGAGTGTAATTAAGTACATTTACTCAAGTACTGCACTCTGTACAAATTTGATGTACTTTATTTGTGTACTTCAGTACTTGAGTAAATGTACTTCTGTACTGACAACATGGCAGAACAACATTTAAGGTATTGGTTGAAATCAGTGAATACACAGTGCGTGTGAATGTTTGAAAGGCCAAAATAGGCTCATACAGTTACTCTCTGAGTACGCTTTGTGATGTAGCTTGAAATGTATCTTTGTACTGCAATAGGGGCGGTGTCTCTTAAGTGCATGCATTTGATAGCAGTATTAGCTGACCCTGTTTGGTGGGTGAGTGCTTAAGTGTGTGTTTAAACATCACAGGGCTGTAGGATTGAGGTCAAGAGAGAGAGAAATGAGAGAATGAATGAAGAGAGAGGAGGGATCAACCTCAAAGTGACCGGACGCTGAGGTCATTCACTTCAGAGGTTGAAACCCCGAACAATCCACGACTAATCTCTCTTACCTGACCCTGACAGAGGTTGCTAGGCTTGCGCTTTCCCCTCACAGGCGTAGACGAAATAGGTCCGGATTAAGGTGCAGTGATGGGTAGGGAGGATACTGTGAAATGACCCATGAGAGAGATATTACAGGCATATTACAGAGCCTTCATGCAGCTGTAAAATTGTAGTTATTCAAAAGAGATGGTGATTTTTATCCACACAGGGGGTTCAGAATAGTACTGAAATGATTTACCAACAACAATATTGATCAGAGACTTTTTGAAGTGTCAGTTTGTAACATTTAAGAGGATCATGTCGCAGCAGGTATTGAATACTAATAACGACCTTTTAATTAATGTATAATCACCTGAAAATACGAATTATTGTATATTTGTTACTTAAGAATGAGCTTCTTATATCTACAGACGCCGCAGGGAGTCCACCATGCAGTCCATCATGTTTCTACTGTAGCCCAGAATGGACAAACCAAACACTAGGGATGTTGGACGTTTTTTTTTATTGTTTCGCTGCCTCTACAGTTTCTCCTTCATGCTTTGAAGGGGAGAGTGAAGCAAGGGATTTGCAATCCTTAACTACCCCTCTGGAACCCACTAAATCCTACACACTGGTCCTTAAAGTCATTTAAAGGGCTAAACATTTGAGGATTTGCTCAGTGAACTGAGTTATCTTTTGGCTTTGGGTTTTGAAGGGTTGTGACAGATGTGTTTAGCCACACTAGCTCCAACTATTCGATGGACTGCCATGAAATTTGGCACAGATATTCATAGTGCTTAGAGGGATGAGACTGTATTGACTCTGGCGAACCCCTGATTTTTCATCTAGTGAGCTTCACATTTGTGGTTCTCAACAACAATTGGATGGATTGCCATTAAATTTGGCACACACACTCCTGTTTCTCCCAGGATGAATTGTAAAAACTTTGGTGATTCTCTAACTTTCCATCTAGTGCTATCATCCAATCAAATGTTTTATTTGCCCAAAACTTTGGTTTATGACCAAATACCTGCAAAACTAATGAGGTTTCCATCAGCACTTTATGTTAAGAGCTAATGTGCAAACACACTAAACAAAGATGATGAAGATGGTCAACATGGTACCTGCTCAACATCAGCATGTTAGCATTGTCATTGTAAGCAGGTTAGCACGCTACAGTTAGCATTTAGCTAACAGTACAGTCTCCCAGAGCTGCTAGCATGGCTGCAGACTTTTTTATAGATCTTGTCCAAGCTTCTCAAATTTGAGGATTTGGTGTTTTTCTCTGTTTTATATAATTAAAAAATGAATATCCTTCATCTGAAGTCGTCACCTTTGGCTTTGGGAGCGTATAATGAAAATCTTTCATTATTTTCAATGAATTGATAAATCAAAAATACACAGATTAACTGACAATGGAAACTATTGTGAGTGGCAGCCTGAGTTCAAAAGTTAACTGGTTTCTTCATACTCTGCTACTTAACAAGCTGAGCATCACTTGTGACTGACATGTAAGCAGAGACTGAATGAAACCCCTCTCTCTTTAAAGGCTTTGATGTTCTGCTGCCAAAATCCCAGCTTTAGATCAACTCATTAACTATGCTCCTCCATAGAGTCACAGACGGACAGATGTTACCCTGTCCACCATAATGCTGCCTGCGCCTCCTCTCAGACAGTTGTGTGCGTGTCTGTGTGTGTGCATGTAATCTGCCAAAGTGGTTCCTCTTTTAAATGAAATGACAAATGGCTCAGTCATTCATGATGAATAACTCTAATCTCTGTCATCTGTATCCCCCGCTCTCTGTCTCCCTCAGGGACAGACTTGGTCACCGTCTATCGACGACGAAGGCTCAACGAGAGATGAGTTCTACGACGATGAGGACCTCTACTCAGGCTCTGGCTCTGGCTGTAAGTGTGTGTGTGTGTGTGTGTGTGTGTGTGTGTGTTTGTGTTTCAGTGTGTGAGAGGTTACACACTCACGGCCTGGTTCTTTCAAAACACGACAGCTGCTTGGTTTCAATCTGCTGACCCTGAAGACCCCGTCCCCCTTCCTCCCTGTCCTGGAGTTATGGCCCCTCTGGGCACCAGACTCACATGCACAAAGGCACACACAATTACACAATACAAACCACTTGGCTCGACGGATAGTTTTGGATACAGATTTATTGGAAACACCTTTAAACACAGACACACCCTCGCAAACAAGCAGCAACCAGGGCTCGATTCCCCCAGATCTTATTTACTCTAATCAGATTACCGTCCACACAGATTAGGCGATCACACGCCACGCCAGCAGTTTGTGTGTGCACCTATCTGCAAACGTCTGTCTGCGTTTGAGTGAGCTGGCTGTCTGCGTGTATAGGTATTACCTACTTAACGTAAATCACGTTGGTGTAATTCAGGCTGATTTTCTGATTTGGCTGCTGAAGCTTGAGCATAGCTCTCCTTATTAAGCATGACTCATTGAGGACTGCCCTCGGTTCAGGCACTGCGCTAGTGGAGAGCACACTTAAAATAAATTACAACTCAGAGCAGGAGAGTGCAGCAGGGGCACCCCCTGTGGTTGAAACAGCAGCCCGGCAAATTGCTTTATCTCAAACCGTGATACAGAGCTGTCTGATTCCAAAGGAAAAGCTCATTTTCAGCAGACGAATGTGCATTTTGTGCTTCTGCTGCTTCAGAATGTGGCATTTTGAGGCTTCTGATAAGTTTAACAGAAGCTGCATTGTTCGAGTCCACATTTTGATATCCTTTCCAGCTCCTCTGTCAGCCTTCGCGTCTTTGTGCCTGTAAATTCAATTTGTTTCTCTTTCAACCCAGGGAGCTCCACTGTTATAACAAAATGAAAGGTGGTATAATACTATTATGAGATTTAAGAAGAAAATGAATCATTCAGCACCGTCGTCTCTTTTCTTCTCTTCTCTTGTATTTGAAAACGCTGTTTACGTGCATCCACCGCAGCTTTTTAAAGTCATTTTCATAAAAATCTCCATCCACCCTTTAACACGAAAACAAAATCAAGAAAATCTCTTCCATCTTCATTCGGGCCCACGACAAAACTGCACATCACAGCCAACATCTGGTCTCAGTTGGTTGAACCTCTGTTCTGTCCCCTCCTGCTCTCCATGTTTAAGTTATACAGCTGAACTCACAATTACTGGAGTTGTTCTCATTTACATATTTTTCTGTTGTCAGACAGTTAAACAAGCAGAAAATAGCGATTTGATTACAGCTCTAATTGCTGCGCTGAGTCGTCAATAAAATCACTACTTTATGACCCTGAAGTCATTTGACAATCCAAACATAGCTGTGCTGTCTGATTGGCCTAAAATGAGTAGAGAGGACAGAGATGACAGAAACTCGGTCGCTGCTTTACAGATTTTGACCGTTTCTTTTTTTAATCTGTGCATCATGAGTCCCCCAACCCTGTGGAAGTGCAATACTGAAGTGCTTGACTACCACACAGCCCTCAACCAGGCTTACATCATTGTTTTCCAAAAGTTTTCACACTATTTTCACAATCTCCATTTTCTGGTGAGACCCATGCTGGTTTTGTGTATAGACAGAAGTCCAAACCAGAGTGAAGATTAAGCATATTTAAATTAAGCTGGTTTAAAGCCATCATGGAAGGCTAGTGGTCTATGTGGCATTTTTAACATGTAACCGTAACATGGTTTGAATCCAGCCCGGATGTGTCAAATAAAGGCAAGAATGCCCAAAAAATAATCTGTAAAAAAACCCTACTATATATCTACAGTGGGAAATGAATGCATGAAGATCCCCACAATGAAACAACATAATAGTGTCCATGGCATTCACATTACTTTCAGTCCCACAGTTCAATGCATCAAATTTTATAGATTTAAAAAGTTGTGCAACACTACACCTGATGATGCAAAATGACAGTGACTTACTTATTAGGTGTCTGAAATCTCAGTTTACTGCACAGTGGAGAGTCAATTATTGAGTGTTAGAGAGTAGTGAATGAGGGATTGATTTCACCCACAGTGTCTGATTTACTGTTTGTGTGTGAGTGTGTGGGCGGGTGGGGTTAGTGATGAACGGGATGTGTGATTGAGTGAGATGTGTACATGTTTTAATTCTTTGACTCCTCTGCTTGTTGTTGTTTAATTAAGTCATTTTTAAATTAAAAATTCTCTCCCCTCCAGTCCCTGAGATCAGAATGAGGCCGACATCAGTGGGTGTGTCATTCACCACAGAAGAGCCCCTCCTCCTCTCCACCACCCAGGCCACCGGCCCCGCCCCCTCTGCCTCACCTGCGGCTGAGCCGAGCCCCAACCCGGAGGACCCCACTGCCACCCCGCTGCCCACCGAGGCTGATGGAGAGAGCGGTGTGTTCTGGGAAAGAGAGAGAGAGCTGGAGAAGGAGAGAGAGAGGGAGGAAGAGTTGGAGAGAGAGAGAGAGCAAGAGAGGCAGAGGGAACTGGAGAGGGAGAGAGAGAGGGAGAAACAGTTGGAGAGGGAGCGAGAGAGGGAAAGAGAGAGGGAGCGGGTCCGGGAGATGGAGAGAGAGAAGGAGAGGGAGAGAGAGCGCGAGCGAGAGAGGGAACGTGAGAGAGAGAGAGAGAAAGAGAGAGAGAGGCAGAGAGAGCGGGAGCTTGAAAGAGAGAGAGAGCTGGAGCGAATCAGGGCCGCAGCCCAGACCACCACCGCCCCACGATCCCCTGCTGCCATCCCTGTGGTGACCACCAACCCAGCAATCAGCACTGCGGAAAGTGCAGCACCCTCTGCCGGTTCGGATGACCTGAGCACCACAGAAGAAGAAGAGGACGTCTACCTGTCACCTGAACCCACATCGTTTTACCCAGGCTTTGACATAGAAATCACCACAGAGGAAGACATGTCCCCCACAGCAGAGACCACCCCTGAGCCCACAACGGCTGCACCTACCACCACCACCACCGCCGCCGCCACCACTATCAAGACCAGGATCCCCTTCAGGCCCAGGGTTCCCATGTCGACAGCCACTCAGGCGGTGCCAACAGAGAGAACAACTCGCTCTCAGCAGCCCACAACTTCACAGGTAAGGTTAAAGTATTAGTTTTGTCAGCCATCAAACATTATTATGTTCATATAGAATAAGAAGAGTAGCATCATGTAGGTCTGACCGCATCAACCCCAAAAGAAAACACCAAACACAGCAGGGAGTAGGAAGTGACAATAATAACTTTGTCCCATCAGGGAGCGTAGACTCATGGTTATGTAAAAATCTGTGGGTTTTAGAGGGAGTTACACAGTGCAACTATTTCTTGATGAACAACATCCACCCAGGCAACCAACCTGGCAAAGTCACGGTGATGAAAAGGATTCTGGGAAGTCACTGTGCCAAGATGTTGTTTGCCAAGAAATATTTACAGCACATAACTCCCCCTGAAACATCAAACTGTTACATTACACTTTGTGTATGGATTAAACAAACAGGATAAAGCATGTTAATTAGTGAGCTTCAGAGGGGGTGGTGAGTGTTTTATTTTCATTTTCATACAGAGCTAGGCTAGCTGTTTCCCTTTGTTGCCAGTCTTTATGCTAAGCTAGGCTAATTGCCTCCACTCCCCTGCTCCATACTTTAACTTACAGACGAGAGTGGTATGAATGTATGTCTCACCCTCAGACAAAATCAATTGTGTATATTTCCCAAAATATCAACCTATCCCTTTAACAAAAGAAACAGAAATAAATAGTGTATGTTGGGAACTATTTTCAGCTACAGATTATATAAGATTGGATATATAAAGTATATGATGAACTACAGTGCCCATGTTCATGAGGATGATAGAACATGTCATCCAGTGCAACAGTGTGGCTCATTAATGTGTTTTCAGACAAAAAAAAGAGCTATTTGGCACAGAAGAATAGGTCTATCAGGGTTTGGCTACATAGTCAATATTTGTTTAAGCATTCAACTCTTTGTTGGTTCTGGTAATGTTTGTGGGGAAAAGTCTAAAATTGTCTAAAATTGGCAAATTATTTAAATCAGGAACTATCTGACCAAAGAATAAGTGAATAAGGATTCACACACTAGCTTATTCACTGCTCTGTACTAATGGACTCACTTTGGTCGGTACCCATAAACTATTGAGGTTTGATACCCAGCCCCTCTTCTGACTGCCTCTTTAACACTGACAGCTTAATTATTTACTGACCAGAATCATTTCTCTGATTGATGTGCTTCTGTTTATTTGCAGCAGTGCTGCATTAACACATGATGCATTGAGATTTGTCTGGTTTTCCACATTGTAATTAAGTTGCCAGATTTTATGAACTGTGTATATGTGTTGGACAATATGCAACTTTCCACCAATCAGAACATACAGAGGCTCATTGTTTCAAAAGTGAACATGTGCCATGGAAAGTTCTCTGTTTGTGCTAGTTTGGATATGTTTCAGTGTAGTAGCTCCATGGAACAAATGTGATTACATCAGATGTACATTTCCTGTTGTTAGTCTCACTTTTCTCTTTCTGTCTCAGGAGGGTAACGACGTGGGTGCTGCAGGGCCAAGTGGAGATTTTGAGATCCGGGATGATCGCCGCAACGATCTTGGTCGAGGAATAATGCCAGTGGATCCCGATCTGATTGGCAACACAGTGGACGGAGGAAGCTCTGCCGCCCAGCTGCCGCAGAAAAACATCCTGGAGAGGAAAGAGGTCTTGATAGGTAGGAACATGTGTCCAAATATTTGTCCTGGTCTTCAAGTTCTGTCTATGCCTGTCACTCTGCCTTCGTTTCAAATAAACTGCTTGGTAGTCACCTCTTAGATCGACGGATTACATTTCCCCGTTGCCTCCTGTGTTCTTTCCTTGCTTACTGGGAGCTGCTAAGATAAACTGGCAGTAACTCATGTTCACGTAGTGCAGATTCATCACGATAAGTGAATGTGCTACTTAGCCCCGTTTGACCCATTGAGAACAAGCAATCCTCTTCTTGGGTTATCCAACCCCTCCTTTCTCCCCTCTTTTTCTCATCATTTTCCCTCTGGGCAAATCCAATTTCTTTTCAAGTGCCCCCCTCTCCTCATCCCAAAGAGCTGTTGTAGAAAGTGAGGCAGCAGCCAACTTGCCTGACCTGACTGGCTCTCTGTCTCTCCTTCAGCTGTTCTGATTGGTGGACTGCTGGCGGTGGTTTTCGCTGATTTCCTGGTCATTGGTAAAGAGCAGGAGGCAACAGACTTTAGACTAGACTGTATAATGGGACCAAGTTACAACTGTACATGTCAACCTCATACATTCATATATAATGCTGTATATAGGCACTGTATTCACTTTCATCTGTGTGAGAACATGGGACATGCAGTGATTTGCACGTATTTACCATCTTTGACTTTTCACACTGAAAATAAATAAAGTTAAATAGAAATTAGGTCATTTTGTTTAAATTTAGATAAATAAAACAATAACATTTCCATTTGCCAGATATTTCAGTTGTTTCTTTCATATTGTTTTTCATCAAAAACTATTGAAATTCTGCCCTTTACCCCCTAAATCTGTACAGTGTTTCACAGTACAGGCGTCAATATTTTAACAAGACAAAGAGTCTACAGCCTTGCTAGCGGCTCTGCAAGGTTACACTGAGGCACAGCGGTTAAAAAGCTTAGTCTTAGTCAGTGATAGTAATAAAGATCTGATATTATAGATTCAAGGAAAAGTAGTTTATCATATCTTTTTTTATGAGAAACTGCAAATGGTGCATTTTAAAGGGTGCACAAAATTTTTTTTATGCCCAATATCACAATTGTCAAATCAGGGATAGTGAAGGTATATTTATGCACACTATAACACAGAAACTGCATGATCTGACAAAAAGAAATCTAATTAAATATTTTTATAAAATTTAATTACAAGAAATGGCGTGAAAAGTCAAGAGTGGTGGATATTTGTGCAGTGACGGAGCATGGGAAAAGTTCTATTATTTAAAGCCTGTGCACTCTGATATTGGCAGTAATGGAATAAACAAAGTAAACACCTCCCACACAATGAATGGAAACAAAGTGTTCCTCAAGCATTTTGGAAAATAAACAGTTTGTTCTCCATTTTGGCGTCAATACCAATTAGTTTAACGAGGGAAAGTTTTCGTTCTCCCCCATTTGATAACCACACATTAATCTATCGCACACAGCAAGAGTTCATTAAACGATGTGTGCAGAAGAAGGTGCAGCAGCTGCAGATTGGTTACACCAACACCACAGGGCTACACTACTATGTAGCACTGCAGGGCTGCAATTTAGCACTAAGCTGTTGGCAACACGTAACGTATGTTGGCACATCCAGGCTCATCAGTCTTCACTTAGCAGCTAGCTGATAGTGATGCTGTAGCTATGCTCTGCTTTCTGACATGGAGTGTTTGCAGCAGCGTGTGTTTGTAGTGATGTAGTCAGCTGCAGGATGTAACCGTGACTGTCATTGTATTTTAGCATTTGTTCATGTGTATGTGTGTGAGTGTTTGTAGGATCTGATCTGTAATGTTCTGGAAAGTTTTTTAAGATTATCCACCCTCTCTTCATGTCTTTCTCCAGCGGTGATAGTGGGAGGAGTGGTGGGCGCCTTGTTTGCCGCCTTCCTGGTGATGCTGCTGGTATACAGGATGAAGAAGAAGGATGAAGGCAGCTACACGCTGGAGGAACCCAAACAGGCCACTGTCACCTACCAGAAACCAGACAAGCAGGAGGAGTTTTATGCATAACACTCGTATGCCAGAGAGACGCACCGCACACCGAGGGAGAGAGAAAGAGCGAGAGAGAGAAGAGAGAAAGATACTCTAAGCCCCTCGTCCTCCCCCTCCCCCTCCTCCTCTTCTTCTTCGTCGCTTCCCCCTCATCTGCTCGCCTCTCCTCATCCCTCTCTCCTCTCGTCTCCAAAACACATGAGAGCGCCTTTCTCTCTGCGGACTTGGAACTTTCTTTTCCATGAAAATGAGAAAGAGGACAAAAAAAGAAAAAGAAAAAAAAAATTCCAAATATATTCTGAAAAAAAAATAACACATACACACAAGATGTTTTTAAAGTAAATGTTGTTATTAATATTCTACAGATTCTCTTGTTCTGTATGTAATGATATGATTATTTTGTAAAAAACAACAAAACAAAACACAAGCTCTTAACCTGTGTTTTCTAGCACAAAAAAAGTTCCTCCTCTGTTTTTATGGAGCGAATGAAAAGGCTTAAAAAGAAAAGAGGAGAGGAGAGGGGCGGAGTGAGCTGAGCGAGACACAAAAGAAACAGACAGGGGTGGGCTCGACTCAGCCCCTCGCCCCCCCCTCCATAAATAAAACACACAGAGCGTCTGGTTGGCCGCACAGAGCCCAGGGTCAAAAGGTGAGAGGAAAGGTCTCTTTTGTGCCTTCCATCCCTCTGGTGCTCAAAGACGCATACACACATCCATACTGCCACATAAACACATGCTTACACTCATGCACATGCAAACACACAGACTTGTATCTGCTCGACGGTGGCTCTGACCTCTCTCTCTGTGCTCGGCCAACCAGAAAACGGTGATCAACCCTTGGCGTGTTTCACAATGTCGAGGAGCCGCTGTGGAAACAAAGGCTGGTCCGTCTGCTCCTCTAAGCTGTACAAAGACTAGTTACGGATAGTAATAATAACCAATAATATATCAATGTTTTGGGCTGGATGGTGAATAATAATAATAATACCATAATAATAATAATAATAATGATAATAATAATACTTAAACAGGAGGATGTGTATTTAGCAGTTTAAAAAAAAAAAGTTTATATGTAAATATCAGCATATCCTTTCTGGCATCACTAACCATCTGCATGATCATGAAGAGTTTTTATTCATCACATCCATCATCACTTTAGATGAGCTGTGCTCTCGTCAGCCACATGCGCGCACACACACACTTACACACACACACACACACACACAAGTGCAGACATATAAACTTGCTGTGCATTTAGATACACCACACAGACTTTAAATATACTGTAAATCATATCATTCAAACACATATCAAACCCATCATTGTCATCGTCATTATCATCATCGTCATTGTGATAGTCATCGCTCGTGATACGAGTGAGATCAGATGGTTTCAATATGTTATTGATTAGTTATGGATCAGTTGCCGGTTGGTTTAGAGTTTGGTCTGTTTGTGTAAAAGCACAACTATGTGTCCAGTCATCACGTCATCCCGCACACACACCTTTTGCATGCCTCACTTTCTTTTTCTTCCACCATTGGCTCTCTGTTTGGGGATGGGAGGGTCCTGTTGGAAGCGAGGGGGGGCTTTAATGAAAATGTGTGAAACCGCGCAGGAAGTCGCGCCCACATGCACTAATTAAAGCTTTGGTTATGAGACAAAAACGGACTTTGAATTAGTGTTTATGGGTTCAACTTTAACCTGCTGTTGGAATCTTTTTTTGGGGAGGGGACAACGGGGGGAAGAGGGATTAGGATTCGGTTTGGGAAGGGGAATGTGAGGAGACAGGAGGGCTGTGCTTCTATCTAAGAGATTGTAACAATAACCACACCAGTGCGACTGGGCTAGTAGCTTCTATTATACTCAGTACTGTAGAACAAAAATGCATGGGAGTCAAAACTATACTAGTCTGGGTGTGTGTGGATGCCTGTGTGTGTCTTTGTGTGTTTGAAAGAGATAGAGGGGTGAGTTAAAGTTGGAATGTACTGTGGTCGAGTGTGTGTTTACCTATTCCAGCAGTTCTCACGCTCTTCCACAGACAGGTAACACACCTCTTCCACTCCTGTGTGTGTACGTCGCCTGCCCCCTCGCCAGTGTGTGTGTGTGTGTGTGTGTGTGTGTGTGTGTGTGTGTGTGTGTGTGTGTGTGTGTGTGTGTGTGTGTGTCTACACCTCATCTAAAACCACCACCTGTGTGTGTGTGCGTGAGTGCTTCACCTTGGTATTTCACAGCAGACTCTTGTGTACACTGACTAGCCTGTCGACGTGTGTGTGTGTCTGCGTGTGTTTAGTCTGTTCACTGCTGAATGAGGGGCAGCTGGTCCCTCACAGTGGCTTTCACACACACTGACTGTCTTTTCACTGTCTGTCTGCCTGTCTGTCTCTCTGCCGCAAGGACAGACGGACAGACAGCACGCCACTTTCTCACAGGCAGGAATGATCTTAACACGTACTGTCTTTTCTAAAGTGACTGTCGAAGTGTAAACATGTGTGTTTGTACCCATCTAAGCCTGCGTAGCCAAATAAGACGTGTGTGTGAGAGGGTGAATTTGTACGTGTATGAGTGTAGGTGTGTGTGTGTGTGTGTGCGTGTGTGTGCGCGTGTGTGTGAGTGTATGTGTGAAGCCCGATGGAGGCTACACTACTCTATGTTTGCTGTTCCCATTCCTGTTTTTATACATTTGCATTTTTTTAAGGCTGAGTTTCTGTCATTGGCTGAGTGAGCGAGAGGAGGCGGATCCTCCACGCCACCGCCCTGTCACTAATCTGCCACTCTGTTCCAAATAAAAAACCTGGTTGGGTAAATCTGTCCTCTCTTGTCTGTTTTAATTTAAGTGCTTTTAGTGTTCAGTGTGCTCTCGATAAGACATGATGGACTTCAGATAACTAGGTTTGAACTGGGTCAGACTAATAACCCAAACAACAAAGAACAATCACAAAACAATCCCACTATGCATTTTCTTCAGATTGCTTTGTATAACTTTTTATCAGCAGTGGATAACATTTGTTTACGACTACTCTCCTCATGGTAGCTGGAACAACCTGTTAGAGGGCCCCTGGGCAAACAATGTATGCCTTATGTGCAATCTGTGTATCCTTGCACCTCCATGTTTCCATTAAAGGAAAAGTTTGATATTTTGCAGTGGGTTAGATTAGCTTAGCATAAAGACTGGAAACAGGGCGAAACAGGGGGAAACGGCTAGCCTGGCTCTGTCCACCAACAACATCTGTCCACCAGCACCTAAAGTTCTGTACAAAAACTTCAGTGTATAAACAAGAAGTTGTGGTTTTATGGGGGGCTATGTGCTGAACCTTTTCTTGGCCGGATGGAGTGAGCTTTAGAGGTGGTGGTAGGTCAGGCTAGGCTAGCTGTTTGCCCCCTGCTTCCAGTAGGCGAAGCTAAGCTAGCTTGCGGCTGGCTGTAGGTGGTATTGATCTTCTCTCATTCTTGGCAAGAAAGCGAATAAGTATCAAAGTACTCCTTTAGGTACAGTGCACACACCGGATTACACGGTGCACATCGTTTGCCTAGAGATCTAAAAACCAACTAGTACTCCTGTCCTGCCTTCCTCTAGATTTTCTGGGGTTCAGTTTATGTAATTTGATTAGAAACAACTTTATTTGGGAAATTGCATCGTGTGAATACAATTTAAACAAGATTACTATTGATTTTGACACAGAGTTCCCATATAAAACTTTTGGCAGCAATACCAGACCCACTTTAGTTGATATTGTACTTTAGTTGTGCTAGTTCCCTAATAAAATCACCATTATTCAAATTACCAAACCCAATTAACATGCAGTGAACCTGGGAATTTCTGGAGCCTCTAGGGGTCATGGTAATCCAGCTTTGTTCATTAATATTTTTTCTTTTAGTCATTTTGTTTTTACTCATTAGTATATTCCAATATCAGCAATTCTGCTTTCACTTACGTATTGTAACCAATGCCTCACAGCAAGAAGGTCCCGTGTTTGAATCTAGAGCCCCCTGGCGACCTCGCTAAATGATAACTTATAATGGATGAATGGATTCCCCATTCACAAACAATTTTCACTCGTTAAGCAAATTGTGGGGAGGAAAAAAAGCTTTCCTGTCAACTAAAAAGGGTGTCTCCATGTTGAAGAGCAACAGAAAATTGGAGAGGAATAAAATTTAATTAAAATACTGTCAGAACTCCCAGTCGGCCTTTTCACCATCACCAAATGCACCTGCTACTTGGAGTCGTTTTCAGAAGAGCTGCTTATGTACTTTAACTCAGAGTTAATTAATACTAATCCTGATTCTACTTGACTAATATTTAAGTTAAGTTCCACTGCTTTGACTTCATATAATAGTACTCTCTCTAGTCCCTAATTAAAGCTGCAGTTTGTAAAATTTTTACATGGATAAATATGACTTCACTGACTTACGGGTCAGTTATTATAACATTTTATAACATCTTAAAAACAGGCAACATCTCTTTCTAGCTATAGTGCCTTTGGTTATTCTTGGTAATCCAGAGAACAGGCTGTTGTCAGTATGGTTTTTGGATTATTCAAAGTAACCAGGACATTGTTGCTGGAAAGGCACACGACTGTTGAATTATTTAAATGTAATTTTTCCAATGCTGTGAGCTTTACAAATTAAATTCCATTCTTCTCCACTTTGCTGGGCTGCAGGAAGAAATCTCAGACATAGATGTCTCAAAACTTGGACAAAAACAACAACAAGCAACTGTACAGATCTAGATACTAGTTAGATGTAAGGGAAAAAGCATGTTTTTTTTTTTTTGGTAATTTGGGTGAACTGAACCTTTTGATCTTTGGTCTTGACTATGACTCAACTCCCACTTGGTGCTGAACTCAAACTGGAGGCCAAGGGTTTGTTTGTTGGTTCACTCTGGAGCTGAACCAGTGGATAAGAAAAGACTGCTCAGAATAGGAACATATTTCAGTAACATACATTCAAAAGATCTCGCAGGCAGACACAAAGTCTCGCTCTGGTGTTATCACACACCAGCTTTAGCTTGGCCTTCATACCATTTCTGACCCAGTGACGTTACATGAAAGACCTGTATGCAGAGCTACTGTGTATACGTGCCTCTTAACAGCCCATTTACACTTACTGAACTCAGTAGACCCTCAAGGGAGGAACAGCCAGAGATGTTATTATTCTTAAGTCATCACATAAAAATGTACTTATGAAGTGATTAGATAAATTGTCCGTGGGGATTTGTAAGCACACAGGAAAGGAAAATTGTTCTAAATGGGGCCCCAGTTTACATTCTTTACATCAAACCAGATGAAACCAAGGTCACCTGATGTGGAGGAGTACCAGGGAGTCTGCAGATGGCCTTTCCCTGGATCCAGAGCAGACAACAAGCTGTCCTGGCCTTGGGTAGTGGACTGCTGATATGGAAATTAGCCTCACACAGAGGATGAGTGGGGGTTTGTGTCAGCCATATTCAGTTTGGGAGGGGTGGAACAGAGGAGTAAAAGCTAAACAGTAGAGTTGGGGTAGGCAGAAGAAGGTTTAAGGGTCTGGGGTCCAGCCAGCACCCCATCTGGTGGGTAACAGAGGAACAACTATTACTACTATTAACTACTTCATTTTAACATGGCATTTTCACCACTGACATGATAGTTTGGATTGGGAGTTGCTGGATGAAAATAGCAGAATAACAGCTGTTACATCCTTTGTGGAATAAAATGATCAGCATTATCTGTCCTCAGTTTACAGCAGTGGTTCCCAATCTGGGGGACTGGACCCCCACAAGGACTCCCAGGATAAATCTGAGGGGTCACAAGATTATTGAGAGTAAAGCTGAACTAACTTATGGTTTTGGATTTTATATGAATTTTAATGCATAATCTTTTGTCTTTTTCTTCTCCTATCTTTTCAGGCCGTTTTATCTTAGTAAAGGGAGAACAGCCTGTGATAAGGGTTGTAAGTAGACATTGCTTTGTTTTATGGGGTCATGAACCAAAAAGTGTTGATACTCTTCAGCCACAAAGCCTTTACTTCCTTTTTCTGGGGTTCATTTTTGGGACACGTTTGAATAAATTATCTGAAAAATCTGCAGTGTTTAAGAGTTGAGTCAACCTGCACTGAAATCCCAGAACACATTATAATGCATTAGAGGACTCAAGTTTCATAATAATCTAGTATTTTATTAAGCTATAGTACACCATACCAATTTAATGGTGATATGACTCACAGGGATATGATTATTTTTAATTATAGGCAACATTGATATTTGTTTTTTATAGCCAGTCTTCCAAAAAAAAAAGACTGCAATAATCTAATAGGCAATTTCATTGAGGTATACACATCAGAATTATTATCATTATTGCACATTATAATGATACACGGAAGTCATGAGGAGTTAATTGAGGTTCACTTCCGAATACCACAGCTGTACTATGGATATCAATGGTGGAAGAAGTATTCAGATTCTTTATTTATATAAAAGTGCAAATATCATAATGTAAAAATACTCCATTACAAGTAAAAGTCCTGCATTTTAAATTCTACTTAAGTTAAAGTAGAGCAGTATTGTTTGCAAAATGTAATTAATGTTTCAAAAGTAGAAATACTCAAATAATGGGCCCTGTGTGACTACAAGATTGTTAAAAGTGATGCATCGATACATAAGAACATTTTTACTGTTGTAGCTGCTGGAGGTGGAGCTAGTTTTAAGTTGATCAACTTTATATACAGTTAGTTGAGCCATGGCTCTGCCCAAACCATGAGAGAAGTTTAAACAGGAAACATTTCTTTAGTGGATCTTCTAACAGCTCACAGACATCAGAACTCTCTCTGCTTCTTCTTTTTTATAAGCTCATTAAATGTTTTAATGTTAAAACTTAGTCTGATAAGTAACTAGGAGCTAAATGTAGTGGAGTAGAAGAATAAAGTAGCATAAAATGGAAATAGTACCTCAAATGTTCATTAAGTACAGTAATGTGCTTAATTACTTACGACCACTGATGAGTATACAGTACATAGACCTATTACATGTTCTTCTTTTTTATGTTATCTCTTTTAAAAAAAAACCCTAATATAATAAGTTTGTAACTAACAATATAACTTGTGTAGGCCTATATAAACACACCAGGGGCACAAGGATAAAAAAAATAAATAACTGAGACCCTTAAAGCTTTTTTACAAGGTCTTGTGTTGTAAAAAAAATGTTTTACCATGTATTGTTTGACATAATCAACTTATAAATGTTGATTTCTAAATAGAAAAATTGTCCAAAATAACAAATAAATAAATTAAGTCATATTAAGTAAATAAAAACTATAAATTTTCTCTTAAATACTGTAAATTGATGGCAAAAATGATCACGTGTCAGTAAGTGACCGCATCAACAGGTTGTGATTGGACCTGTTCTCGTCACTGATTGGCTGCCTCCGTTTCACCCTTCACGCGATAATTCTCCGTCACACTGCCGGGGGGAGGGGTGGGGGGAGGTAATCAATCAATCAACCTCATTAGCCTCCAGTGCAGGAGCAATTCGCTTCGTGACTCAACGTGGCTTAATTGATTATTAGCGCAAGTTTATTGGTTTCGACTGACGAAAATGGACGAAGACTGTGATTTAACTGAAGATTTTGGTAAGGACGTTCAGGCTGACATTTAATTGTTTTATGACTTTTTAGTCCACTCAACGTCTGTGTCACTTTGCAAACTTTGAAAAGACTTTTCAAAAAAACTTTCCTGTATGTATTTAAAGCTCATAATCTTTCCTGTGAGGCGCTGCTCCCCCCCGCGCTGCTGCTCAGCTCCTCAGAGACAAATTAAGAATAAAAAAAAAAAAATATTGCTATTAACATTCACGACCCGGTGTTTGCAGACGGGGACAGGTTAGCTAGTTTAGCTGCAGCTAGCCGTTCAGAGTTAATTAACGGTCAGGTGAGGTGGCACGAGGCGCTTTGCACAGCTGGGACACTAATTAAGTCACTGCAGCTCCTCCTGAGGATGACGTGTATCGGGTATTATTCAACCTGCAGGTCACCGCATTACTCAGGAGATAGGGAAGAACACATCTCCTCCAACATTATCAAGTTATTTCTGACAGTGTATGCACCTTCAATAACCAGCTCTGAATCTGAGCGTGTTCAAATCACTAAAGTTGTGTGAAATGGAATAAAATATATCTTGAAATATCAAATGAAATGTGTGAAAACATGAGTACATACCTCATGAAATGGTTTAATTTACTCAGTTAACTAGATTTTCTATAATTGTTTTAGTTACTTTTAGACTCGACCTAGTCTGAATAGAGCTGAAACAATTAATGATTAATTTATTACTCAATTGACAAATAAGTTAAAACCATTTTGATAATTGTTTTATAATTTTTTTTTAAAGCATTAATGGCCACATCTTTCTCCTTCCAGCTTCTTAATTTGAATATTTGCTGCAGTTCTTTGTTTTTCTGTGGTAGTAAACTGAACATCTGTTGGTTTTTGGACAGCTGGTTGGACAAAACAAGCATTTTGAAAAGTCAGCTTTGGCTGTGAGGAAAATTTCAATGGGCACTGATGAAAACTATTCAAGAAAAATCTAAAGTCACAGCTCTATAATATACTCCGTGACTCCCAAAAGGTGCAGAAGACTAGTGGAAGTGGTAGCTATGTTTAAGGGGGGGCATATATGCTATACATGTTATTATATTGTGTTAAAGAAATCAACATATGTCAACAGATACTCATTATTAGAGCAGTTGTAATTCTTATTGTTTGTGACAAACCAGAAACACTTAACTCATAGCCTAACAGATTTATTTACCTGCTAAGAATACAAGAGTCAGAGGACCTCAGAGGTTTGAGTGGTTCATATATTTTAAACATATCCAACTTATGATGGAGCACAAGGCAGATGAAGAGCCTTAAAGTCAATTTGAGTGCATACTGGAAGCTAATTTGGTGATTTAAGGTCAGCTGTCCGTGTAAATCGTGGCTGCAGCTTTCTGGTTCAGATTACAGAACCATGTAGAGGTCTCTCCAAGTTTGGATTATAGGCTGATAACTGACCACAACTTGCCACGTATCAGTGAAAATGGTTCACACACTTCACAGAACCTCGACAAAAGTTAAATAAACCAACCTCTCACTTCACTCTGTTGCAGACTGTCCAAGCCTTCTGTGTGAGGAACTGGAGGATTTGGAAACAAAGAACAACCAAGGGAGTATGAGGAGGAGTGAAGGAGAGGAGGAAGTGTTTAATCAGAGGGAGGATAAAGAGACAGGGCGAGAAGAGAAGGAGGAGGAGAGAGAAAAAAAAGTTGTGTCAGAAAAGGAACTGATGGTGACAGAGGGAGAAGAGGAGGAGCAGGTGAAGTTAGAGAGTAGGCTGGCAGCGGAGGAAGCACAGGAGGTGCAGATGGACGACAAGATTGAGAACAACGAGGAAACAATTGCTGATAAGCAAGAGGACAAAGAACCAAAAGGTCTAGAAGAGAGAGATGAGAAGAAAAAGAGTAGGAAGAGGCGAGGAAAGAAACAAAGTGAGCGGGTGAGAAACAGGAGAGGTTTAAAAGATGTCAGTGAGTGGTTTGAGGAGGAAAAGAAGCAGGAGGTGTTAGTGGTGAGCTCAGAGGAGAGCTCGACTCTGTCAGAGCCTCCCATTGGACTGATGAACAGCTGCGACCTGTCTGATCCCGTCTATCTGGGTTGTGGGGGGACAGGGTTGTATTGCCCCCCAGTTCCTGTTCCCCTGCTGTACTCCTCCCAACCTCCAGTCCCCATCCAACCTGCACCTCCTCAGCCCCACGGGACAAAAAGGCCTCACAGCCCCCTTCTGCCTCACAGTCTCCCCCAGCAGGGTCCACAGCCTCTCGAGGTGAGAATAGACCCCCACTGTTTGCAAACCACTATTGTACCTGAACTTATTAACTCAATAACACACTTTCCCCCATTTACTCCACCTGTTATATGAGTGCAATGCTAAACTAAACTAGCATTTAGCATTGCACTCCTATAACATTGTCAGAATAATGATGGGCAGTCTATAAAAAAGGACCAGACATCATCTCTCTTTTATCTACACATTCTTCTTCCTTGTCAAAACCTGGTGCCTACGTTACCTATAACGGCCGCTGACAGTTCAGTTGGAGATCCAGGTGTGGTTATGCTGGTAATGGCTGTTGTAGCTTCAAGCTGCTAGCCTCAAGCAGAGTTGAGGAGTGGGCTACAGAGGTCTGGTAAGCTTCACTTCTTTCTAACTCGACACCCGCAGGTGTTTTTCATTTAAAAACTGACAGTTTTCAATCCCAACTGAATAAATCCACAAGATTTTGCTCAGCTCCCTCTGGAGCAAACCGAAGACTTTGATGTGTGCAATTGGTGGAGTTTCCCCTCTTAGTGGCTTTAAGGTTGGAGTTCAACAGCTCTGCCATAAATTCCACCTTTATGGAGTTTGTAATTCATTTTTGGTGACACTGTTGGATACGTATAAATTAAATTATATGTTTATTATTGAGGTCATATTTAAATGTGATGCTGTACTCGACTGCACTAGATTGAGGTTGTTTGGTTTCTTTGTCTCCCTGTTTAAAAACATGAGGCAGGCAGAGTATTAGGAACAGCTCTGAATATGATGCAGTCCCGTAACATATTACGCCTGACAGGGTTAGAAAACTGAACATTATCGGTATCATTCATCATCATAATTCCCACTATTCATGAATCATATTGCAATCACAAAATCTGTCAAAATAATCGCAATATGATTTTTTTTTTTTTTACCATATCGTGCAGCCTTGCTTCAGCCCAACAGACACTTTTGCATATTCTAGTGAAGATCTCCAGGTAACTAATTTGTTGTGTTTAATTACAGTATAGTGTGTATGAAATGATGCACACCTACAATCTCTTGCAATATTAATGATGCAGCTGTGAAACTAGCTTCCTGGATTTGAGCATTTGGCTCAGTGTGGTGTAGCGTGATATCAGCTGGTGAAAGAGCTTCCTTGAAGCATTGGAACAAGCACACGCAGAATTTGATTTGGTCAAACTGTGTCAAATCTTTTGATTTAACCATGAAATTATATATATATATATATATATATATATATATATATATATATATATAACCAATCAGAGAAGTTGAGCAAGAGCAAGCAAATCCTCTGATTAGAGAGCACTGATATATAGTAGAGCTATGACAAGACTGACAAGAAATGAGTTATTTTGATAATAGATTTTTTAAATTTATGGTAAATTGAATATCTTTGGTTTGTAGACAGACAAATGAAGCAATCTTAAGACATTACCTTGGTGATCGGGGAAATCGCAATGGGCATTTTTCTATATTTTCTGACATTAATAGACCAAACAATTAATGTATCAATTCAAAAATAATAACAACAATGATGTTGATGATGCAACAAACCATTACCTTCAGCCCTAGAGTCTATCAGTGTCACAAGAGGTGCAAAGACAAAACTGGAAATGACTTAATTGGTCTTTTAAGTCCTGAAACAACAAATTTCTTTTGGTCCACTTTTTTTCTTCTTCAAAAATTGTGTTCAGCTTTAAAGAAATGTGATTATTGAAACTTTACAATGAGAAAATAAAAAAAAACAGTGAACATTTAACAGAATTTGACTGAGTGCTGAGGTAATGTTTGTCTGGTTCATGGCAGATGGAGATAACCCAGGTCTACTCTACCCGGCGCTCCATCCGCTACAGCACCAGGGGTCGAGGCCGGGCCCTGAACTTCTCTCTGCTGTCGGGGTTAGAGACTGTGGACAGCTGCCTGCTGCCACCTGCACCGAAGAAGAAGACACGCACACTCTACAGTACTGGTAAACAAACTGTCATATTGTTCATGTGTGTTCAGATTTGACTAAGCAAATAGTTGACCTGCTTTTGGTGTGTGTGTTTGTGTGCATGTGCGTATGCGTGCAGATCAGTTAGAGCATTTAGAGGCCTTGTTCCAGAAGGACCATTATCCTGACGCAGAGAAGAGGAAAGTCATTGCTGCTTCAGTTGGTGTCACACCTCAAAGAATTATGGTTAGACAGCCGTTTTCCTCTTTGAATCTTTTTCCCTTATGACTCCTTTACATTGCTTATTTGGTGATGAAGCTCCTAGAAGAAAGAGTTCGCTGTTACCAAACAGGGAATAAGGTTGAGTTCATTCCCTTCATTCACCTATTGTTTCCATGACCTTCCAATTTCTTGACACCTTCTTCTTTTTCCTTATATCCATTTTTATTGTCTCCTGCATTTTTTGTGTGTGTCCCAGGTCTGGTTTCAGAACCGCAGGGCTAAGTGGAGGAAAGTGGAGCGCTCCATCACAGCAAAAGTTGAACACAGACAGAGTAGAGCTGGATGCAGCAGCAGCAGCCCCCTCCATCAACAAATAAATCCCACCCTGCCTACACTGGCACCCAACAGGTATTACAGTATCATCCTTATGTGTTTTTGTTGTTTTTTGTCCTCACATGGTGCAAATTACTTGTATTTCTGCTTAATTTGTTGTATAATTCATTGTTAGAATAGTTTTTTTTCTTTTTCAGTATGGGTGGTCCCTCTTTTTCTGGTCACTATGCTACCAAGCTGCCCCAGCTCACCCCTGCAGCACCTTCTTTCCCCACCCTGTCCAACCAGACTCTGCCCTCCTACAGCAACCTGCTGGCCAGTCTCAACAGCCCAGGTGTTCATATCCACATTACATTCATACAATTTTTAAAAAAAGTAGTAGGGTTTAATAATCTTTGCTCAGAGGCCCAACATTCACAATTTCTAATAATTAAACATATTAATAATTTTTACATTACAAATAGTAGTAATTACAAATAATCCTAACAATTATAATTGTTTTGTTGTTGCTTGTACACAGCCTAATGTTGTGTTCAGAGTTTTCAAAAAGACAGCTCCTTCATTCATTTCAATTGCCTCTTTTCCACTGCTTGGTATGGCTCATCTCTCTTGGAACTGTAATTTTAATGGTCATTTTTGTTTTTTCACTGGCAAACGTTGGGTATAGTATCTGGTATCTTGGTATCAAAAGTCGAGACTAAAAAGTGCAGTTAAAATACTGCTGACCACTGATGGGTCAGAGAGAATCATCACTAGCATGACAGGGGACATCCTTCTGTGTTTGTGTCACATTGAAGAGCAGTGCTGAACCATGTAATGTGGCGTTGCTATGACGATCAGTTAAGAATCCCACCTAAACCGAGAGGATTATATCTGCAGTGGATAACAAAATCAAGTACATGGTAGCAGAAGTGAGCCGAGCAGAGCCGTACCATGAAGTGGAAATGAGGCTAATGAGAGCTCTGTGTTGCCACACTTGGGATGCAAAAACATTGACCAGCAAAGATTTGAAATTGGTTAAATTTTTTTTACAAGTTTCAGGAGTTGTAAAATCCTGTTTCATAGTGCCGCTGTGCACCCTGTGCTAAATGCAGGGCTCTTTGGTCTGAATGCCTACTAGGCGAACTAAGAGGTCCTACTGGAGGCATCAAAGAGCATAATTCATAATCTTCAAACCAAAAGTAGTGGGAAGTTTGATCTCAGTTTATTATTAATAGTGAAATGAGCAGCTTTATAACTACCTAACTCTCAGTTTGTAGTTGGACCATCAGTCTGTATTTTCCTTATTTAAGAGAAACTTTATCTTCATACTGTAGGAATCCGTGAATTGACTTCTGCTAGGTTTAAACTCAGTAGAACGTCACCCTGCATGTTGAGCTATTAAAATTCCCCCAAAACCAAAGTACAGTATATCTTTAATCTCAGTGTTTAATCCCTATGTGTCATCTCCAAGGTCAATCCAGAGTGAGCGATGGGGGCCAGCATCAGCTTTCATCACAGGGGGGGTTAGCAGAGTACCACCCCCGCCCCATGCACAGCCCTCCCCCACTGCGGCGGGCCAGTCTCCCCCTTTTCACAACGACCTACAACTCCGCCAACCCCACTCCACCTCTCCTTAACACCCTGGCTCACACTCCACCTCTGTTCCTGGATGCTGTGGAGGGTGGCTCCTCCTTGGCCCATCGTGACATGCAGTCTCTACAGACAGACTCCAGGTCAGCTCAGCTCACAGCTGACTGTGACATGAATACTAGAAGATGATTTGAACAGGAACAACGAGTACATGAGATGACAGGAGGACAGAGGGTTGGCAGGCTGCAGACACGAGCAGGGATCCTGTGAAATACTGATATAATGATGCCTCAGACAGCGCCTATAATAGTGGGGAGTCAGTTTGGTGCTCTGAAATATTTCAGAAATCATGCTGAGAGATGTCTCTGTTAGTAATTGCTTTGTACAAAATTATGTTTGTTTGTTAGACTACAATTATGTATCACAGCACCAAAAAAATCCCCAAATGCAAGACAATACGAAAACAAACAATGAATATCAATGTATTTTTCAGTCCTGCTGCTAGGAGACTTAAAGCTTCAGTTCACCCACATTACAACTATAACATATTTTCATTTGAAATACTTTCAACAAAAATAATTGTTCTTTTTAAATTGGCTGAGTGTTTTCTGTAGAGTAACTGGGACATTTTGTCTCTAACAGTGTAAATGTTATTTTCACTACACTCACCTCCATTGTATTAGTTTGGCAGCAGCAAATCTTATCAAATAGTATTGCTAAATTAGAAAATGTTTGTTTTATAATGCATCTCTCTGGATGGCATGGTGTTTGGTTAGTCCTCCACTTTGGTCCAGACTCAAATACCTAATCAAACAACAATTAGATGGATGAAACCTTTGTGACCCCCTGACTTTTCCTCTAGTACCACCATGAGGCATTAAGTGAAATATTACTTAACTATCTGATAGATATCGAGATTAAATTTGATACACATGCAACACTACTGAGATCTCTAAGATGGTGAGCATGGAAAACCTTTAACTGAAAGTATGTTAGCATTGTCATTGTGAGCATGTTACCATGCTGGTGCTAGCTCACCAATTGGCTCTTGCTGATTGTTGCTTCCTTTGTGTCAGAGGACATTTGCACCAAATTGAGATTGAAACCTCTTTAGCTCAGCTGGCGGGAGTGGATTACAACACTAGGTCCCATTCACAATTAATAGCGGCCTATTGCTGTCCCAGCTTTTGAGTCTGTGTGATCAGCCCTTAAGTCTTGTTGTAATTTGGATGCTCTGAAGCCTTAAGAGGGTGCTGTGATGACAACTATGTGACTGTCTGAATCATTCCATACATGAAAGGTTCCCAAACTCCTGTTGGCCCTCCTTTTGTGGATAAAGATAATGTCAGTCGTTTTGAAAGTCCTGTTACTTCTTTGCTAGCACAGCAGTTTTCAGCCTTCACCGAACAAACCCTCAAGTAACTTCTTGCCCACTACTTTTAGAACAGAGTGATTGAAAAGACAGATGCACTGGATGAGAGATATAAAGAAGTATCTGAACAGTTTAAGACTGATGGATCTCTGTAGTAACACACTATATATTTATGGAAAATTGTTCTTTTTATTTTTCTCAGCTCTCTATTTGACTTTGGGGAGAAGCTCGACTATCTGACCTCAAGCCAGCAGAACAACACTCTCCCCTACCAGCTCCAGACCTCCTACCCCACCAACCAGCCCCAGCACCAACCTCAAGCATCCATGCCCCGAATGGCCTACCTCACCCCCTCCTCCTACCTCACCCCAAACCCTCCAGATTCCAACCCTACCTCTTACCTGACCTTTGGCCCTGGAGGAAACTCCACTGGGAGGGTGACCTACTCCACTGGAGGCCACGCCTACTTCCAGTCCCAGAACGCAGGACAAATCCTGCTGCAGTCGGCCGGTCATCATGGTGAGTCACTGGGATGAGGTTTGATTTAATTTATTTATAGAGCCACAAAAATATGGCAGTCGAGGGGTTTACATGAAAAAGTAAGAACATGGTCCCAAAATGTTACAAGACAGATGCAACAAAAATATGTAAAATCCGACAATATAATCTTACACCATCGCAAAATAAATAAATGATTAGATATTTAGATATCTATAAATAAGAGACAATAAATCACCTGTCTCTATAAATAACCCACTTTTAATGGTCATATTTCTTTGTGTGGATTTGTTTTACAACACCTGAATGAAAAAGGAGCAAATGGCTGCATTATTTACTTTAGGCATGATAAATAACTATAAATTCCTAATTCCATTTTTCTATTAATTGTAAACTCAATGTTTCTCAACAAGAGTGTTTTTAAATTTAACCCTACTAGGCTATTATTTATGTTTGTGATTTTAAGTCAGTTTCAGAGAAATCACGATCACCAGTGTGGTATATTAAAAGGCTCAATGTACTATGAAACCCATGAACTTGTTTTACAGTCGAGAAGTCGGAGGTGCAAATTAGATATGTAGCAAAACCAGAAGCTTCGTTGTTGCAGTTCATAGAATAAGGAATAAAATACTACACAATTAATCCAAAATCATCCCAGAATACTAAAATGAATTGATTTAACCTGCTGAACGTATTATCATATTTCTACAATGCATTATTTTAAGGTTCAACAGCTTAATTTTTAAGCAATTTGGTCTTTCTGAGTGGACTTCTCTTCGTAAGTTTTAATGAACACAGTCTTGTACCTTTTGACCTTTTTTTTTAAAATAAAACCCCAGATATTTTCTGACGTGGTTGTCCATCTTTTATTCTGATGATTCAGCTGGAAGAGTTTAATATCCATCCAAGTCTTGGAAGTGCCCTAACTGCTTAGTCACCTAATATTGTCTGTTCCGATAATAAAGACTTTTACTTCTGGACTTGAATGCACTAAAAAAACTCTTCCTACTCTGCTACTACTCAGTCAGCCCTCAAGCAAAGACCACATTGTTAACTGACATGCAAATATAAGTGTTATTTAAATTTATTTTGGCATTTAATTTTATTGAGAGTATTAGAGCTAACAGTAAACAAGGGGAGAGAGAGGGAAGGAAAGCAACAAAGGTCCCTGGCTGAAATCAAACCTGGAAAGTTTCAATTACATGGTATACATCTTAACCACTCAGACACCAGGACGCCTTAGTGAAAGTGTTTATTGAATATGAAATGTTCGAGCACATTGGCAAAGATACAGAGATTGGCAGATGAGAATGGTGGAGCAGGATGATGGCTGCAGGTTGGGGAAGCGCTACCACAGAGGTTTTGCTCTGCTCCTGAGCCAAATTCCTTCCAATAAAACTCAATTGTCACATCTTGGTTTGAATCTGTGTGTTTCCTTCCAGGTGGGATCACAACGTACCAGTCGTACCCGTGGGGTAACATGTACAGTCAACCAGCCATCCACCAGCGTACTCAGTGCCCACCAGCGTACCCCGCCGGCTTGGGAGGTGCTCGAGACCACCAGCCGCCCTCCTCCACCCCACTGCCTCCCCCTTCATTCTTCACACGGGGGGACCACGGGCCCTCACATGCTACCTCCCAGCGCTCATCACACACCCATACACACACCACCAGCAACAGCACCACCACCGTCCTCCCTCCTGTGTCCACCCTGCGGCCCTCTCGCCTCAGAGCAGAGATCACCCCAACCAAGGCAGCAGGGATGCTGCCTTCTCAGGTCAGCCCTGCCTCTCCAGAAAGCCCTCCAGTGCCCCCTTGTGTCAAGATTGAGTATGACAGCCCTCGAGAGATTCACAGCCACTTCCATTGCGACTTCTCCCCCATACGTTTTTGACTACATGTTTGTTTGTGTGAGAGAGTGTGTGTTTGAAGTACCTGTGTAAATATGTCCTGTGTAAATGTGTGAGTGTGTCTCTCTATGTTCCATTTATATTACTATTAGGATGTTCTCAGTAGACATAATAATGTCAACATGCTTGGTTGGGTTGCATTTAACTTGGCTGCAATAAATGCTCATTGCTCTGTTAATCCTTTCAAGCTTTTGCTATGATTTAAATCAGGGATATCCAACATATTTTTGCTCTGCGGACTGTTTTTATTGAGACAGTTTTGTTGTGGACCGGCAGACCAAACATAGAGGAGTGTGTGAGGTGGGCTAATTGCCAAGCGTAGTTGTTCTCCACATCCCTGTCAGGATATGCGCACATGTTCACAAATCATGAGCTCTTTAATTCAGGCGTGATCATCTACCAACACACACAGCCTTAATTACAAGTTAGAAAAGGAGGGAAAGACAGGTGCCCCAAAGGGGGGCGGGCAAGCATAAACAGTAATTGGCAACACTTTTTAAGTTCCTCTTTAACGGTTTAATGGTTTAATTATGTAGTTTTAAGCAGATATGAGTGTTGATTAATAACTACTAACCAACTAATAGTTGTTGACAAATACATTAATAAACACAAAAGTAGGCTGGTGTATAAACAGATCATGAGTGAAAATACAGTAAAAGGCAGTGTATTAATACAGGAGAAGTTGTAATTGTTGTAATATTGTACGTTAATGGCACATACAAATGTCCTTATAGCTGCGTACAATTGTTCAGTGTGATTATAAATTATAACAAGGTCTATAAATGTAGACCTCTCAGGAACACTCAGGTTGTAGACTCACACCTCTGTGTAATGCTGAATACTGTAAAATGGTGCTTGTAATCTGCTTTAGTTAAAAATCTATATATTATTGTTGGGCAAGATGGTGAGTGATGAGAAATGCAGCACTGACAGAGTGCACCAAGTTCAGGATAATTCCTTATAAAAAATTGTTGGATGTTATATTAAGTATATCTTATATCCTATAATAACCTCCAATATATAATTATTATTCAGCTTTGTTTACTTAATCATATAGTCGATTCCTTGCAGCCTAGCAGTAAATGTTCTAGGGCTTGGTGAGGGGTTGGGTACTTCAAATGAGATGTGCTGCTTATTTCAGATCTGTGTTTGCGCCACAAGGGGGCGCCGTTTCGTCATGTGCAGCAACTGCATGCTGGGATTTATTTATTTAAAAGCATGTTGTTTCTCAGACGTCCCTCCATCGGGGGATGTGTGACGATCCCTAATCCGATAGAAGGACAGTCGTTTCTAGGGTGGAGGTATCCCAGACAATCACTGATGCAGCCCAAATCCTTAATCTGTGTTGCCATCTGCTGCGTTCACACACTTACTGCACTTTCTGCTCTGTTTGTTCTTAGTATGCAAGTCAGTTGTGAGGGCTTGTGAAAACCAAATCCCTATATGAAACCCCGCCCCTGAAAGAGCTGAAGGCATTTTCCTGAGACTAGAAAAGACATTTGGGACCAGCGTGTCATTTTTTTGCCCTCAGTCGTGAAAGTAAAACAAAAAGTTTCTTGTTTTAACTCTAGTTAATATTCCTGGTTTGTAGTCCTGCTGTATATAAAGCAAAGTTTGAAGAGAAGCTTGGATGATGATGTGGGAGTAAGAGAAGGAACCGTTTGATGAGAGAAAGGAGGAGGTGGCAGGGACCAGGGGAGCAGATAAAGGAGGGGGGGGAGACAGAGGAGGAGTGAGGCAGTGTGTTGGTCTGGGAACAAGGGAGGAGAGCTGAGATGAGCTGTTGCTATGGGAGGAGAAGAGGATGATGGGTGGGCTCTGCCAGCAGGCGTGGGAGGGAGAAGAAGATGGGGATGAGGGAGGAGTGTGTTTGTAGCACGGGGTTTTGGGATGAACAGAACTGTTGGTTATGTAACTGCTGTATTTGGGTTTTTAATGAACCTCTCTCTTCCTGCTCACTGGCTACTGAACTGTTACTGTTGGCAGGAGAAGTGCAGCATAAACACACATACACACACATAAAAACTTCTTTTGCTGTGCAGAAATTTCTCAAACTCTCAGAAAGAAACACCACACAACACATTCATTTCAGGAATGAAACCCTAAGTGTGAGAGCTCTATTCAAACTTAGTGTAGCAAAGTTTTTACTCTGGATTTTAGTTTATTTGTGTGTTTGTGACACACACATTTTGTGTGTCTGTCTTGGCATAGTCCACGAGTCACCGCACGTAGCTGCACATTTCTTCACATTTCTTCACATTTCTTCACATTCATCTGTCAGGGAGCTTGCATGTGTGACTGAGGAGGGTTTTATGTAGGTTTAACTTTGTAATTAATTTTTCCAGGACTTCCCTGGTGTGAACAGAGAGTGCTCAGAGCACAGCTGTCTGTCTGTCTGCAAGTGTGTATGTGTGCATGTATGTGCATAATATGTGAGAGTGTCTAAAGTACAGGTATGGGATGCTTCAGTCCACCCCGATTCCACCGTGTCAATATTTACTCAGTATTCTGAGATTTGAAGAAAGGGAACTTGTTTCAATATTTATGGTTGTGGTCAAACACGAAATCCTCACAGTCTTTCCAAACCCTGTGACTGTATGCACGCATACACACACACACACACTGACGGGGAAAAAAGTGAAAGAAAACCTCACACAGCTTGGATACAGTCAAGTAGTGGAGTTTATTGATATTAGTGGATAAAGTTTATTGATTTAACTGATTGAAAGTGATAATGTTTGTTGTGGAACAAAGCTGACACATGGCTTGGAGATCCTCCAGTCCTTTGGTTCTCCGGTTCAAATGCCATTAGAGTGTTGATTTTTGGTTTGTTTTAATAAGATACAACAAATAGACCTGTGTTGGGTTTGGAAAACAGGGAGCACGAGGGCGAGTGGCTGGGGAAAACAGCAACTTATTGGATCGAATTAATAGATTTGTCTAAAAATGAAGACAAACAGTGGAAGGTCCTGATTTGACAGATAAAATATCTCACCTAACCATGTTGATAGTACATATATTTAGTGGTGTTATTTGAATGTGGCCTTGTAAAAAAAAAAAAAAAAAAGCCTAATGATATGCAGTGGGACTGAGATGGAGGAATGTATTTGTTTTAGACTTGTTTCCATTTACTCTATGGGTTTGGCAGCACTATTGTGATGAATATTCTCTAAATTGAGCTCCCTGAGGTGGTTTGGCTGTTGGCAGTGAAAGAGGACTTACAGGAACATTTCCTTTTTCAGTAAAAAAGCAAATATGCCATGTCTTTATATTAGATTTCTATTTTGCTACTGGAACGGAGATGGACGAGGAGCAAAGGGAAAACAGAAAATAGCTGAGCTTCTGGGATTATGGTAAATATGTTGCGCTGATTTGTGAATGTCACTCAACTGAATGGCTGCTGAATAGGAGAAAAACATTGGATTTGTGCTGAGAATGACATTACTCAACAACAATTTTGATAATCGATTTATCTAGTGCTGCAGTTAAAGGTCCAGTGTGTATCATTTAGGATGGTCTACTGGCAGAAATGGAATATAATATTTATAGGTATGTTTTCATTAGTATATATGAGAATGAAAATAGGAATTGTGTTTTTGTTACCTAAGAATGAGCAGTTTTTGGGGCCTCTTCCATGGATGTCCACCATGTTGAACCACTATTTTTCTACAGTAGCCCAGAACGGACAAACCAGACACTGGTTGTTGATCGGGCCTTTCATGTTGTTCAGGAGCCACCGTAGTTTCTCCTACATGCTTGAAATGTGAGTGGTATTCAGTTGGCTGTAATCTGCAACTACACTGATGTATGCCACTGAATCCTACACACTCAACCATTATTGATTAATACGCCAATTAATTTCTTGATTAATTGTTTGGCCCACAAAATGTCAGAATAAGGTAAAAAAAAAAAAGCATTACAAAGATTTTCTCCAACCAGCAGTCTAAACACAAAAGGATCCAATTTACTAAGAAACCCAGCAAAAAAATGACATTTCAGAAGCTGGAACCTGTAAAGTTAGCATTTTATGCTTGAAAATTGAGGTAAATCACTATTTAACAGCAATTAATCTTGTGAGGTTTGATTGTTTCGGTTATAGATAAAACGTCCACATTAAAAGCTAGAAATGCCAAACATTCATTAATTCAAGTGTTTCAAATTTTCACATTTGCTGATTTTCTGTTTTACGTTATTATAAAGTAAATATCTTTGGGTTTTGGACTGTTTGGTTAAACAAAAAAATAAGTATGGACATTGTTGGACTCATAAACTAAATTGTAATAATTATTTTGTACATAAAATGATTAATAAATTAAAAATAGTTGCAGCCCTACTTTGAGGTATAAAGTGAATCGTAGAGTAGTGAATATATTTTGCTGGAACCTTCTAGCATTGTGATGTTGAATACACATAGCAGATTGTCATTGTCATCAGTTTAGACACATTGTAGGCCCTTTAACACCCATGTCCCGACAGTCCTCTATTACTATAACTAATTCATGTAAACACAGAATGAAAAATTAGTTTCATGGTCTTGTGAAATAGTTCACTAATGCTGATGGATGCAGGTAAGGCTCATCCAGCTACCTGCTTATGTTTGTGTTTGTCCTGCCTGCCAAGCAGACAGAGTTACATAACCTCTCTCTGTGTGTGAGTGTGTGTGTGTGTGTGTGTGTGTGTGTGTGTGTGTGTGTGAGTGTGCGTGAGTGTGAATCTAGTGTATATTTTTATGTCTTTGCATTAATGTTTGTGAGTGTCTTCTCTTTTAAGTCAAATAGTCCATTCCCAGAGATGATACACTGTCCAGGAATAACATCTCGAATCTTTCATCTCCAACCCATCACCACCATAAAACACACACACACACACACACACACACACACACACACACACACACACACACACACACACACACACACACACACACACACACACACACACACTGTTGATTTTACAGCTTGTTCAGTTTAGTAGGAAATATGTCTGGCTAGTTACTGTACAGCCTGAGCCCCAACTCCTTCTTCCCCTCCAAGACTACCCCCTCAATTGCGGCTTGTTCGGGTCCTGTGTGTGGATGGAGGTGTATGTGTGTTTGTGTGGATGTGTGTGTGGAGGAGGAGGAAGGGGAGGTGTAGAGGAATGCAGGGTTGGGTCGGGTGGAGCGGGAAGTCAGAGGGAAAAGAGGGGTCTCTGTGGGTCTGTATGTGGACTCTACAGAGATTAAAGATGTGTATGTGAGCGTATTGATGAAAGAATGTTTTCCTTCTGTGTTTACTCCTCTGGGGCCCGCTGCCTACCTGACAGTGGAGAGGAACGTGATGGAGAAGAGTCAGGGTGAACGGAGCAAATCTGTTTTTTTTTTGTTTATCTGGTTGCAATCAGAGAATTGAAAATTGAAAATTTAATCTTGAAATATATTAAAGTCTGAGGCTTTAAAAATCTACAAAAATGCAAAGTTGGAAGGATGAGAGAAAAGATGGAGGAGAGAAGATAACCAAACAAGTGACAGAAAAACACAAAATGTTGCATATAATTCTGAACCACTGAACTGAACTGAGCTGAACTTAAGAATCCACGAATTGGCTTGTATACTTCAGGTTATACAGAAATGCATGCTTATGCAAAAATGCACACACACATCCCAACGTGCAAAGCAGCGGGAACACTGTAGGCTGTGTACGGTGGCTCTCCTTCACTTCCGCACCATAAATGTGTGTTTGCTATACGAGGGAACACGGGGAGAAAAGAGGAATTCATGTTGGTGTTTATTTGAGCTTTGGCCAAATCCAACCTGGGGCGGCCGTGTTGGCGCGCACTCTGCACCAAACCCCAGCCGCTCCTGTACCCCCAGCCAGACACACACATACTGTACACACTCAGGTACTCGAGCGCACACACAACACAAATTTTACTACTCCCACACACACATACATACCTGTCCATCCTAGCCATATCAAGGTGTGTTTGTCTTTCCCTGCCCACCATTTTAGGTCCTCCCAGAGCAGGTATTTCCCTCTCTTTCCACACACACACACACACACACACACACACACACACACAGCAGCTACAGAGGGGGGCTGTCCGTGGGCTGACTGTGTGAAGTACTTGCATTGATAACCTGCAGCTCAGAGTCACTCAGTCTCACTTTGTGGCTGTCCCCCTCGCCTGGAACTCCCTTCGCCTTGCTCTGTCTCCTTTCTGGCTTCTCACTCTAGAACCGTCTGCGGACGCACTCAGACCCCTGCGTTTACTCGTCACCCCTCTGTCGCTGTCACCATGACGCCTACCCCGCCGTTGTTCCTGCTGCTGCTCGGCCTCATAGGGGCTCAAGCCACCATCTCTGTGGACCTCCGCACGGCCGCCGCCATGGGTAAGAATGATGACCTTTAACCCTTATAGTTGATCTAACTCCAGTTGAGGATCTCTGATAGTGTGATTCCTAACATCCGTTTTCACTCCTTATCGTTAGAAGCATAAACCTCAGAATAGACATTATAACACGATTAAGCTAAATAAATACTTGACTTTAAACCTTTGTCTTGTTAGTATAGGACCCAATTTTCCATGTATCTATGGTGATATAATGAATGTGAACTAGTTGCATGTGTTATAAACTCCCAAAGGTAACAGACTTGAAGGAGAGACATAAAAAGTCAAGTATTTATTTAGCTTAATCACATTTTACATTGAAATTGGTTTAGATGCTTGTTTAACACAAAATAAAATAAACAGTTATATTGATTCTAATATTTTTTAGTGGCTTTAAACAGTTACTGATCAGAGATTATTGGTATAGAGTGATTAGTCAGCCAGTATCAAAGACAGCAGTGTTTCTTGTGTTGTATTGTGGTTGGATGGTGTATGTGTGCAGTTTAAATGACTGTTTCAGGAGTGAGTGTGTATGAGAGTGATGGAGAAGTTGGGAGGAAAAACTGGCAGGAGGGAGAGAGGTGAAGGGTGAGAAGGGAGATCAGTGACGTTAAACAGATTCTTGAAGTTTTAGCGACAGTTTGTTATGTAAGGCCACAAATGCCTGAAACCTCCCTAAAAATACAACAGTCTAGCTTTATTATTATTACCACACTATTATAGAAACAGTTTTGTGTCTTTCACGCACATAAAGTAGCTCCATTGGGTGTTTTCAGCTGAACAGTTAAAGCTTGTTCAGCAAAAATGTTTATCAATGTAATAAAAATGTTGAAATAAAAATCTTAACTGAGCTTTGAAGCACATCTCACAGTCTTCCTCTCATTCTAATGATACATTTATATTGCTATATATTGTACTCCTTTCAAATAATTTATAATATATATATTCAAAGTGACTTCCCATTTGATATTTCTCTGTCCTTCATCCTTGTTTTTCTGGCCAAGCATTTCTCCATCTCTCCCTCCACCCTCACCTCTCTCCACCCCTGTTGCCTCCCTGCATCCTGTTTTTCTGTTTCCTCCCACTTTCTCACCAGCCTCCATCCCCTCCACCCTCCCTTTTACTCTCAATACCTCCGTTCTCCCGTTGCTCCTCCCACCCTGCCCCTTTCTTACCTTCTTCATCCACTTTAATGTGTTTATCCATCTATATTTCTGGATAAGTTTGTGGATGTACAGTTGTTATGCAAACTATGATATGAATACAAAATAATTTCCTTTGTGTCCCTTCATTTGTAGCGGCAGGTTTGTGCAAAACTCGTCCCACAGACATTGTGTTCATCATCGACAGCAGTCGGAGCGTTCGCCCTTCAGAGTTTGAGCAGGTCAAGGTCTTCCTGGCTAAGGTCATTGAGGGGCTTGATGTTGGACCCAACGCCACCCGTGTGGGAGTTGTCAACTACGCCAGCCGTGTCAAGAATGAGGTATGGGGCTCAGCTAGCCTTCACAAGGACTGACATTTATTTGTCAAACCATTTAATATCACTGACCTACCTTTTATACAACTGCAGGTGTCTCTGAAGACACACCGCACAAAAGCTGGACTGATTAAAGCTGTGACCAAGATCGAGCCCCTGTCCACTGGAACAATGACCGGTCTGGCCATCCAGTTTGCCCTGAATGTGGCCTTCAGTGAGTTCGAGGGCGCTCGTGTAAAATCTCCTGACATCAGCAAGGTAAGACACACGTTTACATGCATTCATACTAGCCATTCAGCATCTTCCATAATCATGATCCATGATTTTTTTAATCTATTTGTCTTTCTTCACAGGTTGCCATCATTGTGACCGATGGGCGCCCCCAGGACAACGTGAAGGATGTGGCTCTGCGTGCTCGGGATGCTGGTATTGAGATTTTCGCCATCGGTGTGGGACGTGTGGACATGAGCACCCTGAAGCAGATGGCCAGTGATCCCCTGGATGACCATGTGGACTACGTGGAGAGCTACAGCGTCATCGAGAAGCTCACCAAGAAGTTCCAGGAAGCCTTCTGTGGTAAGATGGGAGGAGGTAGAGGGAAGAAGGGAAAGATGAGAGGTTCATTGTTTAGAGGGACAGACGCGGAAATTTGCGATGGGAAAGAATTACTGTCAGGGTGGGTCTTCATCATTATCCATGCCTTCATGCCTGTGGAGAGTGCTGTCTGCTGGCCCCCCTATACTGAGGGTAAGGTGTCAGGACTGTCATCTTTTCATTCCAATATATTGTTCCCTTCCTTTTGTCCTCTGCTCTCCCTCAACATGACTAGAGTATATTCATTCAGACTCATTATATATTCCCAGTGGCCGAGGGCATTAGGGCAGGAACAACCTTTTGGAACGAAATTCGCTCCTGTTCTTCAGTCAACTCTTAAATAACCGAGAGGCGAAACTGATCTCTCTGTAATTACCAATCCATTAGTGACAATCATTAAACTTCTAATTAGCGATGCCCCTTGGCTCTCCCACTCTGCGGCAGTTTTGAATGCTGTCTGCCACTCACTTTGCAGAAGCCAATCTTGCTGCAGATATTTTCGTCCAAGGGCAGCGCTGCATGATGGCAGTGTTGGGATTGTTATTGGATGAGCCTGTGCCTCACATTTAGAAACAGACAAACGGATCTTGTTTATTTGAGGCTTCTCCAATCGTTTCCACCTGTTTGTTTTAAGGATCCACTGGATTCATGCATCATCCACTCACATTAAAAACTGTTCAGGTGCAACTGCAGGTCACAGTGGATCATTAAAAAAATCAGTCCTAGATTTTCCCATTTTCAAACTGACATAGTTTCGTTCTCTCCTCCTAACCCCAACCACCCGCCCCCCTCTGTGTGTGTATGTGCCTCAACATATATTCTACTGTGTGTACGTGTGTGTCCTGCACGCACACACACACACAGTGTCGGACCTGTGTGCCACTGGGGATCATGACTGCGAGCAGGTATGCATCAGCAGCCCAGGATCATACAAGTGTGCCTGCAAAGATGGCTTTACCCTCATGGACGATGGTCGCAGCTGCAGTGGTGAGTGTGTGTGTATATGAAGGTATTCGTCCAAGCAAAGCCGCTGTGCTCCCAGAGTAACATGCTTTGTTGTGTGTCTGACATCATCAGCTTGCAGCAACTCGGCGACCGATGTGGTGTTCCTGATCGATGGCTCTAAGAGTGTCCGTCCTGAGAACTTTGAGCTGGTCAAAAAATGGATCAACCAGATCGTCGACAAACTGGACGTTTCTGACAGCAAGGCTCACGTTGGACTGGTGCAGTACTCCAGCTCAGTCAGACAGGTACGTGTCTGTGTTTGGGGGATTCAGTTTGTCCTAATAATCAGTCTCCTTCCCTTCTGTGTCAATGTTATGTTTCCATTTCCCTCCTGCAGGAGTTCCCTCTGGGCCGCCACAACAACAAGAAAGACCTCAAGGATGCTGTGAAGAAGATGGCCTACATGGAGAGGGGAACCATGACAGGCCAGGCTCTCCGCTATTTGACAGATAACAGCTTCAGCTCCGGTCAGGGTGCCAGGCCTGGAGTTGCTAAGGTGGGCATCGTCTTCACCGATGGACGCAGCCAGGACTACATTGGAGATGCTGCCAAGAAGGCCAAGGAGCACGGTGAGAGGGAAGGGATGGATTACTTAATGCAATACAAAGCCCACTTTTACCGGTCAGATGAGGGAAACCTGTGTGTGTTTCTGTCACAGGTTTTAAGATGTACGCTGTTGGAGTGGGCAACGCAGTGGAGGATGAGCTGAAAGAGATCGCCTCTGAGCCGACTGGAGAGCACTACTTCTACACTGCTGACTTCAAGGCTATGACCCAGATCGCCAAGAAGCTGCAGATTAACATCTGTGAAGGTCACACACGATGATTGAATACAAACATTAATTATTCACGATACATACTGATACGAAACTACTCAACACTTGAACTTGTGCTTTCTGTTCCCACAGAGGAGGACCCTTGCGAATGCAACTCCCTCGTAAAGTTCCAAAAGAAAGTAGAAGATGCCCTACAGGCACTAACAAAAAAATATATCCTTTACAATGGGTAGAATGGGATTTTAATGTTGTTATCATATATTCTGTCTTATTGTTTGTCTTCATTGTTACTGTCCTTGACAAAATCTTACTAGAGAGTATGTCGAAGAGGATCGCCTTGCTGGAGAACAAAATCGTCTGAGGACTCACATCCCACTCTTCCCTATTAATCTGCACACACACTAACGTACACACACAAACACACACAAACAATTTTTACTTCCTGTAAAATACTAAAGAGGAACCTGTGTGTATGTGTGTGTGTGTGAACCCTGACCTCTGCTTGTATCCTGACTCTCCCAAACCACCTCTGCTCCCTCCTCTCTCGGTCTTACCTCTTCCACCCTTGGGTCTCCTGGGACACGAAGCGCCGGTTGCCATGGGGACCATGCCTTTTGCGTGTGTGTGCACGCGCTCCGAAGGTCATTCTCCATAGCCAGCCTGTGTGTTTGTTAATAAAAGTCTTCCCTCATAGGGAAACGGTACACTGAAGGGTTTTTCTTTGTTGCTGCCACAATGTTGAATTTCCCCAATCCCTGTAGAGTCTGTCATGTCATGTCAAACGGAGCAGCTCCATCACCTTCACTTGTCTGTCTATTTATATCTGTCACTGCCATCTTTCTCTCTCTCTCCTCTCATATCTGAAGGCTTCATCTTTCTTCTCTTACCCCCACACAAAGGTATCTAATATTATATATGGTATATATTATATATACAGGTAAATTAATATAAGATATATGTCTGATGATAAGGTTACACCATTGATGTTTTTTATTTTCCTAAATAAAGGTGATTCAGGAAGTACATATTATAAATTGTGATACAGTTGTATGCCAAATTCATATTACAGACACAAATGCACATGCAGACACAAAGAAATTCTTACATTTACACATTTTTGTCACTAATTGAATATAAATAAGTATTAAAAGCACACAATATGTTCCTATGGTGTTTGGCTCCCAAATGTGGGCTCCAAGGACCACAAGGGCTTTACAGGTGCTCCCAGAAAAATGTTTCAATTAATTGTCAGATTTTCACAGTCCTTTATCATAATTCTGCATAGTCTTTGAAATACACTTTCTTTCCCCAGATGAAAGTGATCAGAACAAAATCTAAGTTGGATCCATATTATGTTGTGGATTTGCAGGGTTCCCTGTCGAGGAAAGGTTTACACCTGCATTAGAGTGCGGAAATTGAACAGTAATAGTTTATCTGACTGAAACAAAATGAATCTGTTAGCCCTTAATTTTGATAATTTGTTATTTTTCAGAGTAGCAATAACAAGTATCTTCTTTTTACAGAATTATAACTGCTAAATTTGCTGCTTTTCATTGTTTCATATAAAATGTGTAGAGCAAGTTACAAACATTTCCTCTGACCATAGACAATATAATTGATCAATAGATAGATCAATATGCAATAAAGGTAAATACTTAGCTACAGTCACTAAAACTGGAGTTTTTAATAGTAAATAAATATAGCTAATAAAATATTGCAAACATACAGGTAGAATGAGGTATATATTATTTATTATTTATTAATTTTATTCCATAACAGTTAACAAAAAAGCAAAATACAACCAGTAGCTCAGTAACAAATGATAGTGTATGCCAGAAACCAGCACACTCATAATATAAATGTTTAAGTAAGTCAGTTAAACGGTGCATAAATATAGTTATTTGTAAAAAATATAATAAGAAAGTAGTAATTTGAGAGGAGTGACGATGCACCCCGCAGTGACGTTAATTAGTGAAAAGTTTCGTAACGATGACGTCGCACCGGAGGAAAAGCTCTCGCGCTGAACAGCTGAACGAAACCGGCGAGCAAAGTATAAATTATACCTGCCGCCTCCCGAAAAGCTGATTTTAAAACTTAAACTAGACTGAGCTCCGGTCCGAGAGTCCGGTCCAAACCCGAACCACTGGCCCACGGTGTTTGTTATTATCGAGCCATCGTCAGATACTCTGTGGAAAAGAGTTCTGAAGCATCTGCTAACAGCAGCTAGGCTAGCTCAGGGAGCTAACCGGCAGGTTGTCTTTACCGTCAGGTGGCCGGTATGAGGAGGCTTTGAAGGTGTCCCGTCGGCGTTAATGATTTGTGGAGCGGATGGTTGCGCAGTGAACGACGACAGGCGACGGACACCTCAAGTATTTTAAGTCAGTTAAGAAAACCAACGTCTGCGTCAAGCTAACGTTAACGGTCAGGTTAATACCTCAGCTAACAGCAGTTAGCGCTCCGAAGGTGGTGCTTCGGGACCGATACAAGTCATGGCCAGTAATCCCGTGGCAGGCTTCACCCGCTCGGCTAATGGAGAAAACACATCGGGACCAGTGTCCGGTTCTGGCCGCTCATGTCGCCACCCTTCCGAGTCAGAGTCCGATGTTGGCCCGACTGTGAAGAGCTTAGCGCGGCTGTGCAGCAGGGACGAGGACGAGCGAGCAGCGGCTCTGGAGGAGCTGAGTCAAGGGGTTGTGGGGTGTTTAGGACTGGACCGGCCCTGTTCGGCACGGCTGAGTAAACAAACACTCCTGCATCTGCTTCGGCTGTCCCGGTCTTGTCCACTTCAGGAGGTACGGGGGAGAGCTACCGAGCTGCTGCGAACCGCACAGGTAAGTTACTGCTGGGATGTTAGCCCTACTTTCTACTTCGTTATGTCTGCAGGCCAACAGGAACTCATTCATTTAACATAAACATAAGATATAATCATAATGACACACAGAGGGTTGCCTTATATTTAGATCCATTGCTTATACTTCTCATTATGAAATTCAAAGATTAGCTAGGTGAATGATTGACTAATAAAATAAATCGTGCAGCTGATCAGACACAATTATCAGCTGATCACCATTTTCTATGAGATTGCTGGATGTTTCATCAGACATTGAACTGCAGGAGGTGATGCAAGACTGTGCTGCGGTGTGCACAAACAAGCAGCCCGGACACGCCCCCTCCCGGTGCCCTGAAAAACAAACTAGACACACCCCCGGTTGGGCACAGCCAACGGGAGCTTCTAGAAATAAAGAAGTTTCACTGCTAGTGGCGCATTTTAAATTTATTTAGCTTATCTGTCGGTGGGTTGTTGTTGTTGTTGCTACCGGTCTTCTGATGATGTCGGTGAGTTTAACGCACATTTGGTTCCAGGTTTTGTTTAAGGTCTGAAACGGGTCTCTCCAGTTACAGTACAGCTGCTACTGTCTAAGCAGGTCTAGCCAAGTTCAAGGGGGTTGAAGCTCTGTGCAGATTTTCCCATTTATCTTCAGTTATTAATAATAATCTTTATTATATTACATCCATAGTGTTCAATAGGAAAACGTACAGTTGATTCATTCACCCCATAGTTTGTTTTCTTATAAAAATTTTTAATTTTGATATGAAGTCTTTTGAAGATTTCAGACAAACCTTTAACTATTTTGTTGATTAACAAAGAGAGAATATTCAACTATTTTAGTGATTAATGACTCTTTTTTTTTCAAGCAAAAGTGTCAAACACTCCCTTCTCAGTTGTGGGAATTTGTGCCTTTTCTTTGTCTTTTATCTAAACTCTATATCAAGCAATCTGATGACAATATCCAGAGCTTTGTGATGAGCATTTTTTAAAAACTATTTTCTGACATTTAATATATCAAACTATTAGGATGAACATAATTACCAGATTAATCTGAAATTAAATTATTTAATTGTATAATTGACATAACTTTCTGTGTCTTCCTTCTTATAACTAGGAACAAGGAGTTGAAGTCCCTCGGGCTCTGGCCACAGGTCCAAGTGTCTTTATCAATGCAAAACAGGTGTGTATGGCTTGTTTTTAAAAGTACGTTTATTCACAAATATTAAAGGAGCAACAAATTGATTTCAGTGTGGTACACAGTTGGTCTAAATCTCAGGATTTGTCTGGATTCTTGCAGGCTGGCATCATGATTAACAGTCAAATCTGTGTACTGTAAAGGTCGCTAGAAATGTCCTAATTCAGTGGTAGTATAAGCAGTGTAGCTAACTCTTCTGCTGCAATACTGAAGTGCCTGTTGCTTCATGTCATCAAGAGAAGCAACACCAGACATGTGTTGCCAAAGCTGATGGCTGGAAATGCTGATTTGTGAGTCACTCCAAACTTTCCACTTTCCAGAAAGTGGGAGTGTTTTGTCAGTTCTTGAAGGCTGCTGATGTCCGACTGTAAGAGAAACATTAGCAAGTCAAAGCTTTTAAATGCGTCCTCTAGTGCAGTAAAAATGTAACAGCCTCTTGTCAATTTTTAACATTTATTTTGTCTTACTCTTTCTCTTCAGATGTTGAAAGAAGGGCCGGACCAGGACATCCTTATTGAATCTTTCCTTTCATTGGGTCGTGTGGACCACATAACCATGGTGATGGCGTTGCACCCTGCTTACCTCAGCTGCTTCCTGAGGACCCAGCATGCTTTGTTGGAGCTGGACGGCCCCTTACCCCGTCACTGGAGACATTACATTGCGGTTATGGTAAGAAAACTACAATATATTATTATTATTATTAACTAGTGACACTTCAGCACAGTATCAACAGCAGAGACTTCTATATATCTATATAGCACTTATCAAAGTTATTTAGTTGCTGATCTAATTCTTAAGCCAGTGAGTAAATTGTTGAATTGGTGGTCACCAGGTGTTTGTCTTGTGTTTATTTGCATCTATATCAATTGTTTTTGTGTCAAATGAGGTAACCGTACCATCAGCTATAAACACTCTAAAGCCTGTAATTGGTTTGTGAAAAGCTACAGGTACAGTGAGTCTTTCCTTTTAAAGTTTAGGCTTGATATTGCACGACTAATAGCTAAAACATTCAAAATAATGGCAGACCTGCAGCTATTATTTTCTCTTTTTCTGACCGAGTCAATGGTTCCAGAGTGCTTTTATGATTTCTTTCTTTTTATACACACCTAACAATTTTGGCTTTATGGCCATTATTCCTGCCTCCACTAGTAGTTAATATAGCTGTAAAAGCTGTTTCCACTGCTCCCCACCGCTTTTACAGCAAACAAAGTTCAAGTGTGCCATTTATACTGACAATAATGATTTTGGTCAGCGCTTAATCCATAACAAACCATAGTCAAACTTAACGTTCATTTTATTTGCTGAAGTTTTGAAAAAGGTCCTTTGACAGACACAGCTGTTGTTACAGCTGTATGTGTTAGACGATTTGGACATTTTATTCTTCAAGACATTTCCCACTTTAGTCTACACAATAGCCAGATGTTCTGATGTGAAGAAGAAAATGACAGTGATAGAAAAGTCAGGACCTATCTTATGCTGATTTTGTAGGAGCACAAAAATACAGGAGAAAAAAAACTTGGAATAGAAGAGAGGATAGATGCAAAATGGACTTGGCAGGTCATTCTTTTCTTGAGGGTTATCCAGCTACTGTATCACGCGCCACTACAGGTCTGCCAAGGACTGATCCCCTCATAAACATTTAATGACTCTCATCGCTCACATATACATTACATTAGTTTCCCTTTCACTTCAGAAATGGCCTTCATTAGACTCAAAATGATCTCCTGGTGGAGAAGTCTAGTTGTGTTTTTTTAACCTCTGAACCATTTATATTTATTAGCACAGGCAGTTCTTATGCATTATGCAGTCATACCCAGACCAGTGACTGAGCTTTGTTTTCAATAGATGTGATATCATGTTTGTTCCCTTATTTTTACTCCTCGTGATGTTTCATAGGCTGCAGCTCGACACCACTGCTCGTACCTGGTCCAGCAGCACAGCGCAGGCTTCCTAGAAGCTGGAGGGGAGGAGAGCTGGTTGAGCGGCCTTGAGCAGGCTCCCACCAAACTCCGCAGTCTGCAAACGCTCAACAAACTGCTGGCACACAGACCCTGGCTCATCACACAGCAGCACATCCAGGTCAGACACAACACCCACTCACACCCCGTCTCTCCTGCTCTCTCTTTTGCTCATAGTCTGTCATCATATAATATGATATCATTTAATACACTGGATTACTGACTTGTATCTGAAACGACTCCCTTATTGACTCACTCACTACTCCCTGTATAATAGACACACAATAGTTTAATCTTTAGTGAGCAGTAAATGAATATTTCAGAATAGTATATAGAATGAAGTGCAATGCACTGTGGTTCTGCATTTTTAGCAGAAATGTGGAAATCACTCATAATGAAGACATTCAAATGAAAGTGCAGACAGTACACAGTACACAGCACTTGCAGAGTTATTAGCGAGGGATTTTGCATAGTATTAGTTACACTTTATTAAAAAACCTGACTGTTGTAAGAGGAAGCAAAAAAGTAAAAGAAATTAAGTCAAAATTAAAAATGCAGTCTGTATAATATATATACTACTGTGGTGGTTTACCTCCACAATACAGGAAGGATATAAATATAATATATATATATATATATATATATATATGTATGTACAATACACTACTGTAATGCAACACTTCATTCATAAATGCAATCTCTGTGATGTTTTTTAGGCTTTCCTTTGTGTTTTGTGATATTGCACTATATTGTCTGTTTATTTAATTTTATCCTCCTCTATATATGATGATCGTGACTTAACAACCGTAAGAATCAACCAAGCTAGCAGCTTTTTGAGGCAGCTATATGCTAATTTCAGCATGCTAGCATGGTCACAATTACAATGGTGGTGTTTAACAGGAGAAATGTTTATCATGTCAACTGGGTTTGCAAACAGTTGCCAATTACCAATAAACACAAAACAGCTGAGGCTGATGGGAATGTAATTAGGTTTGCAGGTATTTGGCAAAAAAAAGTACTGGACAAATTGCAATTTTGACCTGATGATGGCACTTGACAAAGTTATGGATCAACAAAATCATTACAATTCATCTTGAAGCATCTCATCTTACCTAACGCCTATCCCCTCTGCCCTGCAGGAGCTGGTGTGTCCCGGAGCAGAGCCTCGCTGGTCATTGGCTGAACTCATACATGCTGTGGTCCTGATGGCACATGCTCACTCTCTCTGCTCTTTCGTGTGGGGCTGCGGCTTAAACCCTGAACCTGATCATGTCGGAGGTTATACCTTCCAATCTTCATCACCCAGTCACCTTCCACGGAGCCCTCATAGCCCCGCCCATGAGGACGGAAGGCAAGAGGTGAGCCAAACAGTCGTTTTTCACCACAGGTCTGACAGGTCTAGATTTAACAATGTCAACAAGACAAGGACGAAGAGGAAATTGGTTCATTCCAGCTTTGTTCCACTAGTCACACTGGTTTAGTAACAGCAGAAGACACTTCAGATTGTTGATTTAGTGTTAAAAACAAAGTACTAAGTGAGCTCCTTTTCTCTTTTATCTCCTCCAGTTGGTTGATGGAGCAATGGAGGTGGAGGTGTTGATGAAGAGGATGGTGGAGCTCCAGCAGCAGGAAGAGGAGCACACACAGGAGGAGATGGTTACTCGCTTTGAGAGGGAGAGGAGCGAGAGCATACCAACAGGTACAAACATGCATGTTTATCACATGAATCACTCATTTGTCATAATTTGTTTACTCACTGCCACCTCTTTGTTGTGTTTGTTTTTAGCGTTGGTGCGGGGAGCCCCGCCTGACCTGGTGCTGCATCTGGTGGAGGATCCAGAGTTCAGATATGAGGACTTTGCCCCCAGAGGAGAGCAAGCACCACCCACCATGAGAGCCCAGGTAGTTTGAATCATTTCTGTGTGTTCAAGTTCATGTTAATTTATATTTTGCAGATTGACTAAGACACACATTCCCAAGTTATCTCTTTGTCCGGAACCTGTTGATTGTTTGTGCTAAGTGTTTGTGTCTGATGCGTGCAGGACTATTCATGGGAGGACCATGGCTTCTCTCTGGTCAACAGACTACTGCCAGATATGGGCCAGCTCCTGGATGAAAAATTCCAGGTACCCTCACCTTTAACCTAGGAGAAGTACACGAATAAACAAAAATAAAAACAGTAAAAGACTGATAAGTAGATAACACGACAGGTCTATCTGCTCTAGGAAGTGTAGTTGAATGATACACAATATTAACTAGCTGAAGCTAGGGTCTGGAGGATATAATATGGGACTACATGCTTGTTGACACACTTGCAGTAAAACTACTTTACTGGTATCAGCAAAACAAATGGTTAATAACTACATGAATATTATAATATTGTAGAGCAGTGGACAGTTTTACCTCTTCAGGTCTCTAAAAATGTAGTCAAACAGTCTGACAAAGCACTGCTTAAAAAGGTTGTGAAGGTCGTAGAAGATTTATAGTTGTCTATGACCTACGCAGCCCAACAAAGAGATCAGCAGGCCACACTGGGAAATAAAAATGATGAAACCTAGCACAATGTGGGGAAAAACACAAAGTTTGAGCAAGTGAGTGTCATGGCAACCAGATGATGAAATTATCCTTGGCATCTTGTTCTCTTAATGATAATTTATTAGAGAACAGAATGCTTGAGCATATTCTGACTAGATTAAATGGTGTCTTTGCAGGTTGTGAGCAACCTGACGTACCACAGGATGGCCATGCATGAAGGTGTGGACACTCATACTCTGAGAAAAGCTCTGTGGAACTACATCCACTGTCTGTATGGGATACGGTCAGTCTGACACACCCAAATCACGTCATGAAATAGGTCTTTGTCTCAACTGTGTCACTAACTTTTATTCTATCATTGCACCTGTGCAGGTACGATGACTACGACTACGGCAGCGTGAACGTCCTGTTGGAGCGCTCTCTGAAGGTGTTTGTTAAAACCATGGCCTGTCACCCCGAGCAGACCACGGCACGCATTTACCAGGCCTTCTGGAGACACTTCAGACACTCTGAAAAGGTACGAAGGAGTTCAAACACCACCTGGCCCTGGCCTCTTCAGCCACATTGAATGAATCATTTGACATTTTAACTCGTCGTCCCTCTCGACAAAGAATGAATCCTTTGACATTTCTGCTTGTCATCTCGTTTTCCTTCCTTTTTTAAATGTCATTAGAGAAGGAGGCATTACAGACAGGACTTGAAAGTATGTCACCTAGTAACCTGAAAGTAATGACTTTTTTCCCCCTTTTTCTTTTAGGTTCATGCAAACCTGATAGTGATGGAAGCCCGGCTACAAGCAGCACTTCTTTATACTTTACGAGCCATCACACATTACATGAGATGACACACTCATTCGCACATTTCTGCTGATGCTGAGCCAGCTGTGACGTACTACAGCCCAATGCAGATCACACTCACACACACACACACACACACACACACTACAGTGAATGTTTGTATATGCATATCTTATGTTTCAGTGTTAATGTTTTGATGCTGCTTTGCGACTGGGATATATGATATTTAAAATGTGTTACTTATTTTGCACTGAAATCGATCAGGTTTTGTTTCCCCACTTGAGCCTCAATTGTTGTTCTGACTATCTTGCACATGTTTGTGTCTATCACACACACACACACACACACACACACACACACACACACACTGGACACTACTATCATATATATCTAGCTAAATCATTATCATGATTCAAGTGTTTCCTTTCCAGAATATTTGCTGTTTATTTGATATATCTGTTGGGGCCAATATGTCACCCACAGACAACTGCTGACCACACCATGACTACTCATGTCTAACACAGAGGAATGAGATACAAAAAGACAAAATAACTTGTATTTTTATATACAATAAAAAGTTACTTTGTTATCAAAATGAAATCTGTTGTAACGTATTCTGTCTCTTAGATTTATTGAAGGCATTGCTGTTTTACTGGAAAACTTATTATAGAAAGGGATTACTTTGGGATCTATTTTTGCATCTTTGTATTTTAATTGGAAGACTTTTATAAGATACTGTATATATTTTGAGACTTTTACGTTTTTTATATATGAATACCCCAAGGAACTGAGCACAAACCCTGACCTCTGTATATTCTTACCACAGCAGTTGCATCCACACGCCACTAGATGGAGGCAAAGACTTGTCTGAATAGTCCCTACAGTTCTCTTTACCAAGTCAGCTCACTCTTCAAGGTGACTATAACTGCGGGACAATACATCTGTCCTCCTTGTGGTACAACTGAAAGTACATGACCTGATAATGACTAGTTAATTTACGATGAAGAGATTTTTAAAAGTAATAACTGAAAAAAAAAAAAAAAAAACTGACGTGTCATCTATGAGCACCGTCGTTCTGGGGGGGGATTTCTGTGCACTTGTAATATGTACACGGATATCACACATCTCCCTCAGTCTTCCTGTAGTTCACACCAGGGTGTCGCGTGTTGCACTATGGGCTGCTATAAGGTGACATCTCTCTAGCTGTCACACTTGCGTTCTCCATAAAAAGGCTGAAACAGCCCGATGATATGATCCCTTTTCAGCTGTTCACTCCACGCGCGTGATCCTCTGGGGTGGACCTTATACGCTCGTGAAGTCCTGTTCCCCAAGCCTTCCCGGTTGAGGCGCGCGCCCACTTCTCACTTTGAGCAGCGCAGTAGCGCGCGGCTTTTCTCTCCTCCGTGCGTCCCGCGAGTCACCGGACACCGCTGACACTCACCCCTGTTCCCGTGCGCCTGGCTCCAGGGTCCCCCGGGGTAACGACGGATTTTGTGTCAGGTATGTGTGCTCAGTTTATCATATAATGTCTGACAATGTAATATAATGTAATTTATTGTATTATAAAAAGTGGTTGGTTGATCTTGAAGAGCTGCTTTATGTTTTCTAAGTAAACTGTGGGAATCACAGTTTAAGGTGACATATAAAGAGTTAGTTTCCCCACATTTCTTACTAAACTGACCTTCAACTTTTTCACTGTTTTTGTTCCGTATTGGTGGAGGAAGCTGCCCACTGATCACATCTCTCTGAAAGAGACCTGGACTGTAAATGTAACTGGGTGGGTAAAAGCGCACTGAAAGTACCAAACAAATACAGATGAGTATTATGAGCAGCCCACCACCTCGGGGGGGCCCTGTGTACCTTTTCTTAATAAGAACTCAGATCTCTGTTCACTGTTTTCAGTGTTTGTGAAAATTGAGTAACTTTGGAGTTTTTGCTGTTAGATAAAAGGAAGTTCTCGGTAGCCTGTGAGAAGTTAATTAAGTAGGTCTACCAGTACTTCCACACTGTGTACCGCACTGTGCGGATGCCACAGAGGATGATATTTAGAAATCAAACAGCCAACACTGCAATATTGAAAGAGTGGAATTTACCAGAGAATTTAGTCACAAAGCCTTTAAAGTTGGATGTCTTCCTTTCAAACACCTATTAGTTAAAGGCTGGGATCATCAGTTATAAGGCTGTAGTGATAGAATATATATTGATAAATCAATGAGGTCAAAGGGTCAAACAATAACTTATCAAAGGATCTGGATTTGTGGCGAATGCTGACCGCATCATCAGAGACCAACTGGATGCTTTTGTATGTAAGTTTACTGCATATTTGTCAGATTTGAATGACTTTCAGGAGTCATTCAGCTTTTTAAGGCCTTATATCTGTCTGACTGTTAGATTTGCTCCAGAAGCAGCATATTCCTACAGCAAATATAACAGATTTATCTGGCAACGCGCCTACAGGAACACCTTGAGGAAAAGGCTGGGCTGGATGTTTCCTCAACATGTCCATCTATCTGAGGTGTTTCTGTGGCTTTAACGTTGTCAGACTGGTGTAGGTGTTTGTTCCTTCATCATGACAGGTGGCAGGGACCACCTCCCTTTTAAATAATAATAATAATAATCAACATTCATCTTTGCTTCACCACTGATTTCAAGAGGCTTGTGTTTCTGTGTGAAGGAGGTGTCGTGGAATTTTGAGGGTTGGATTGGGAAAAAAACGTGATTAGGCCGTCCAAGGCCGGACTTCATCACTTCCTGTTTCTTTACGAGGTCAGTTCCTGTCTTTAGCCTCGGGGCTAGGCAGGAAGGAAGGGGGCGTGTATGTGTTTTTTAGCAGGGGGGGGGTTAGAAATGGACGTTACCATAGTCACACAGCTTTCCAACCAAGCAGCTGAGGGCTGTGACAGTTAAGTGCTTGTCCGAGATGAGCCCTACAGCCTGATGTTAGCACCCTCACATTCCCCTGGATGGAGGGTGTCGGCTGTCATTTCGATCAGGGGCTTTGCAGTTTTTGGAAGACTCGTCTTCTTGATGCTCCCATGGAAACAGACCCTGAGCCCCCAGTGCTTAACAAACAGGATTAGACATGTAAATGTTTGTGTATGCCTTCCAACAAGCCACCTCGGTCCTCTGTATCTGGAGGATATGATGACTTCATGTGGAAACAGGACGTCCCAATGACCGAGACACCTTACTTTTCCATTACCCCCACCCACCCCCCAGTCTCTCTCCCGCTCCTATTTGAGTGTGTGTACGTACTCTATGTTTGTGCGTTGTGTGTGAGGGTTCGGTGACAGCCTGCTTCCCATTGTCCTATCATTCCTGCTGCACTCACACTCTGCATCCTGTGGGGCTTCCTGCTAATGAGGGAGAGAGTCAGAGAGAGAGAGAGAGAGAGAGAGAAAGAAAGGTGTAAGGAGAGAAATAGAGAAACTAGAAGGAGGGTTGAAGAAAGTCTGAGCTGAGCAGAGAACTGGTGTAAAAGTACAGAAAGTCAACAGATCTGAACAATCGTGTATGTATGTGTGTGTTGACCCGTGTTCCCGCAGTGAATTCCCTGCTGGGAGCAGCTTATCTGCAGTCCACTGTGCAGGAAAGGGTGTGTCATTTGGATTTGGATGTTGTGACGATGGAGGGTGATGTTATTGTGATTTTATAAGAGTGCACCGAATGCGTACTAATGCCTCGTAGGTCAGAATTTATTTGCTTCCTCATATTGTTAGGGTATACAAATACACTGCAGTTTCTGTTACTGCAAGAGTGGAAGTTAACTTTTCATCTGAGGACGCAACTACCGATTATTTTGGTTATCGATTAACCTGTTGAACGTTTTCTTGATTAATTGATTAGTTGTTAAATGTGAGAAACTGATGAAAAATGTTGATCACTGTTTCCCAAAGCCCAAGGCGACACATCCTCAAATGTCTTGTTTTCTCCACAACCCAAATATATTCAGCCTACTGTCATAGAGGACTAAAGAAACCAGAACATATTCACATTTGAGAAGCTGAAACTTCTCAATGACTCAATCAATTAATTGATTATCTAAATAGTTAGCAATTAATTAAATAGTTGACAACTGACAGATTAATCATTTTTCATTTACTACTTGAGTATTAAGAGATGTTGTACTTTTTCCTCCACTACATTTTACCACTAGATGATATTTATTAGTTCAGATAAGAATTTTACGAATAAAACAATGAACAATATATGAAATATGATGCATTGTTATATATTAAAACATTAAAGGACTGCTTACATGCATCAATTATAGCGGTCCAGTATAACAGTGAAAAGGTCAGTTTTGGATAGCCTACTGAGTTTTTAAAAAACATTTTTTATTTAGTTTTCAATGTTAACAATAAGTGAAAGACAATCTCCTCAGAAGTAAGGAGTAGAAAAGAAAAACAATAACAAACAAACAAAAAGAACAGTGCCTGTGTGTAGTTATGTAGTTGGATACTGAGTTTTAATTTGGGTAAAGACTGTTTCCCCTTTACTACAAATCTACAGAGGTTAGCTTTTTTAGGGAGGAGTTCCATGATCGAAAGTATTTCCAGTGAGGTCTGAATTACAAAATTCCCCTGTATTGTACTCGGGGTGGAGGCGGATATTTCAAAACCTGGGGAAAATAAACTTTTTGCATGTCTTCATACCACCAAAGACTGTAAAAAAAAACTGAAAAACTGTCAAGGACATGAATACCTGTGCATATCTAATAACTATGAAGTATTAGCTGTGAAAAGGAAAAGTGTTGATGCAGACAGACTCACAGACTAATACCACACTTCTCCCCACCAGAGGAAGCTGCTTCTGTTTCACAAACTATTCTAATTATTTCTTCTGTGTGATCGCCAGCCGCAATAAAAATCCTCCGTGACTTTCAGCAACAAGCCAGCGAAGCAGCGAAGTGAAGTTTAGTTTTGAAACAGAGAGCAGAGGAGGAAACACTGGTGTATCTGTGGAGTGAGTATGACTGAAAAGTAAAGTGATTTTGGGGGATAATGTGACAAGAGGCAAGTTTTAATGACAATTGCATCATGGAGAAATAATGACGTTGCCATTTTACATTTGTTACACCCTATGGTCCTGCAACCAGCAGTAGAAGCCTAAACATTTTAAACAAGGTGAAAAACAAGGTGTACATGACTGAAGAAAAAAAGTATTTTGTTTTTTATGTATGCAATAATATCACTATATAACAGCTATATAGTTTGTCACACACTGCATCTAAGTTTTGTAACTTGGTTCTAAGAGGTAAAGAGGAACTGTTTTTAAATTACTGTGGTGTGACCATGCCTTATGCAGACCTTTGTCACACACACACACCTAAAAAGCAGCATCAAGTATGCAGTGTGATAATTCAGATGTGCCATCTTCAGTTTACCATCACCTCCACACACAACCCACACACTGACACACTTTACTCCAGTGCCTTCAATGTTTGTGGCTGATTGAAAGAGAAATGATCTTAAAGCACACACATACAGGTTGTTGTTTTATGTTTAATTCTGAACCATGAAAGGTTAAATGCCAGTGTACCTCTGCTGCATGTGTGACTTTAGTGTTGAGATGTGTTTCTGTTTTCACGGTGGCGTTTCCTTGATGTGGCCAAACCTCAGATCAACTGAATAATCAGGTGGTATTTTTGAATTATCATTGCTTCTCTGTGCGGGGAGAAAGACTGACGAGAGCGAGGAAATTTGGTCAACAGGAACCCAACAGAGAACAATGACTGTATGGCCATCCTGCAAACAGTCCTCTTTGTGTATATGTGTGTGTGTGTGTGTGTGTGTGTGTGTGTGTGTGTGTGTGTGTGTGTGTGTGTGTGTGTGTGTGTGTGTGTGATACATATCCCTGTTATTGTGCTGATCCTGTCTGCGGTCATCTGCCAGTCTTAGAAAAGCAGAAAAAAAAGAGAAGATGAGAGAAAGGGCAGATGAGAGATAAAGATTGCCTCCTCTACACCCTCGGCCACTTCTCCTTTATAAGATTTATCAGAACGAGAAATAAGTTGCAGTTTTGGTCCAGGGGAAGGGTTGATAGAGAGAATATGAAAGGTTATTGTTGGAGAGGTGTAGGCCCATAGCAGAGAAAAACCGCAACAGAGGTGTGTGTGTGTGTGTGTGTGTGTGTGTGTGGGTGGGTGGGTGTGTGGGTGGGTGGGTGTGTGGGTGTGTGGGTGTGTGTGTTGGGGTAGTTTGCGGCACTGCAGCTGCTTGGTGTATGTGTGTGTGGATGTCCTCAGTTTCCAGGAAAAGGGGGGAGCCATCAGAGGGGTGGACAGGAAACTCTAACAGGGCTAACTTCCTGTAGCTCTCCTGATGGCTGACCTGATAGTGAATGAGTGTGTGTGTGCGTGCGGGCTTGTGTGCATGTTCAAGTTTTGCATATTTTGCCCTGGACTCATCTGGATGTAGCCCATAATAGCTTTTGTTAAACACTGAGAGGAATTTCTGGGAATCCGTGGTGTGGATGGGACAAAAGCTGACACTGTTCACTGGGAGAGTTTTTTTCATAGTGAAGGTGAATTACTTTAGGGGGTTTTTATCGCTCCCTGCCATAACCTGTATTGTTCTTCCTGTGTGTGACTTCCTTCACATTCCTCAGTAGGTGGGGAGGCTGCAGCCTGGAGTTTAGTCGGCTTGAAAGGTTGCCAGTTTGAATCCTAGGGCCACTCTACACTCAGTTGTTGGTTTATTAGGTACACCTACAGTAGCTAATGCAGTCTAATACAACAGCCCTGCAATAAATCCTACATCCATAAAAGTTCTAATCAGTTTTGTTGAAGCCTTTAGTGAAGTGTTGATTCAACTTTATGGTCCTTTTGGAGGCTGCAGTCGGCGGTGCTGTTGAACTGTATTACATTATACTGAGAGTTACTTCTAATATTTTGTCCATCCCTGTTATATCAGTGACAGTAGACTAAATCAGTAGTTCCCAACCTGTGGCTTGGGGCCCCACCTAGGGGTCGCCAAAGCTTCACGCCGGGTCATGAGGCCTTGATTCTAAGGGGATGTAAGAAAACAGGTTATTTTTAAAGTCAAGATATAAAAAGTCTTGCATTAGAAAAGTACGCAGTTAAAATAATAAAGAGCTAATAGAACAATAGGGCAAGTGTGAGGGAGAAGAAAACACTGAATTTGTAAAAGAAAAAGAAAAAAGAAGCCTATTAAGTTAGTATGATTGTTTAAAAGAAAACAGACAGAGAATTGTATGTAAAGTTACTAAAAATATAATCTCTGATGCTCACAGGAAATAATGAATTTGTGTCCATTGTACAGTGTATCAGTTGTATGTCACGTACTCAGGGGTTATCACGGACTCATCAGTAACACAGTGACTGATAGTTGGAAACCACTGGACTAAGTCCTCCAAAATGACCATGAAGTTTAATCTAGAGATGCAATAGAGGATTATTTTAATTATTGGTTAACCTACCGTTTACTTTCTCAGTTGAAACGTCTTTAATATGTCATAAAAATATGCCCCTCAAATTCCATGGGCAAATATATATTGCTTATGTTGCCCGGCTCAGTTCAGTTTACCATCAGATGAGGCAAAGAAAAAAATAAAATCCTTAAAATTCAGAAGCTGAAGCAAGATACATTTGGGCATTTTTGCTTGAAAAAAGACTCTAAAAGAATTAACGATTATCAAAATAGACAAACTGTTTCAGCTGTAGTTGAGTGTGAACCTCTCATTATACCAAACATTATAACCTTCATGAATGTAGAATTTATTGCAGGGCTTTTTCTATTAGACGGCATCATTTTAAAGGAATAGTACGATTTTTGTTTGGGTTTAACAAACAAGATATAACATGTTAATCAGGAAGATTAGAAGTGCTGCTGGGTGGATTTTTGTCACCGTTAGCCAGAGCCATGCTAGCTAGTTTCCCCCTGTTTCCAGTGTTTGTGCTAAGCTAAGCTAACTGCTTGCTGGCTATAGCTTCTAATTTCCTGTGCAGACATGAGAGAGGTGTCAGTTTTCTCATCTAACCAGAAAGTGGATAAGACAATGAAACACTCTCATCTTTATCAGGATCACGTTAAAGGCTGCGTGCAGGCGTGTCTGCACACAATTCAAATGTTTTACAGTCTTCACTGTAAGTTATTTCCCCTTGATGTTGGCACCAGGTTTTGCTTTGTCAACACAAGTATTTTTCAGACAGTGCGGTTTGCAAAAAAAAAAAAAACTGGAAGTCAGCATTGCATACAATGTACACTTGAGAAACACATTTCACAGTCAATGACTGTCACTTTTGTGTCAGTTACCCTTGTCTAATGATGACATTTACAGGTATATTTCACCACAATCCTACACACACACACACACACACACACACACACACACACACACACACACACACACACACACACAGCTATTGACCAGAGAACGAATGACAGTACCCTCTCTCGAAACTGCAAAGCAAAAAGGGAAGTGGCTAACCTCACATCTCTCTGTCTTTCCTTATCTCGAGCTGTCTCTGTTTTTTCTAACTTTTCTGTCTCCTCGCGTCTCCCTTCACGCATCTCTTTATTCACGCTTTACCGCCCTTGAGGCTTTCTCTCACATTCTCTATCACCTCATACGTCTCCGGTTCTCTGCCACTCATCCTCTCTCCTGCCCTGCTCTCTCATTCCACCCCTTGTCACTCACCTCCTTCCCTCCTTTTTTTTTTTTTTTTTCCAGTGGCGATGGTGATTGACAGATGATCTGACAGAGGAAGACATCAGGTGAGAAAAAGTTAACTTCTCCTTCCCGCCTTACCCCCAAACCGCTCTTCCTTCTCCCCTTCCTCCTACTTTACTTCCCGCTCGAGGGAAGTGAAGTGTTTTTATTTTAAGTTTGTTACTTCTCTCTTTTACAGTTCGGCTCTTTACGCCCTAGTATGGCCCTTTGTACAGTGTTAATGCATGTTGCTTTCACTTTCTATCAGCTTGTGTTTGAAGTCTTAGTTTGGGCAGGCAGGAATGAAGAGAAATAGATTACTTATACTAATACTAAAATTGACTTATTTCTTATGTTGAATACTGTGATGATCCACTAGATCCTTGTATTTTGTTGATAAGCGGTGATACTGTAATGGATCATTACTGTACTGTTTCTTAAAGGGACAATCCACAGATTTCACACATGAAATTGAAGTTTACTTGTCACACTGCTGTATGAAAACTGTTTTAATTATTATGTCTTCTGTGACTGGAGCAGCTTTGCTATGTTTTGAAAAATAATTTGTCGATGAGGTTTAGACTTAATATTTATGTAACAGAAAGCCGTTGTTACAAACTGGAGGTGCAGAGTTTGAAAGTTGTGGGGGGTTTATCAGGCAGGAAAGATGGTATCAAGTTGCACTGTGGGAAATGTAGGACCTGGGAATTCAAGGGTTTTATTCATACTAGGTACTAAAAGTTAGGATGTCTCGGCCTCCGCTGCTTCAATTTTGACCACAGTTTTTCATGGACGCAAAAGTATTATTATTCTGTACTCATACCAGGTTAGAAAAGGTTTTTATGAACTGCATACAGTTTAATCATGATTATCTAACATCAAGCAGCAAGAACGGGAGGGAAATTTGACATTTACATACTGAAAATGTTCTGGCATGTTTCGTTAACTCTGCCTGTTTTCGCAGACGTCGTCTCCGTGCTGGTTATTATGGGGTGTGTCTGTTGCAAGCAGAAGAAGTCCGGCAAAGCAGCACCAGCAACATCAGCATCAGTAGACGTTACAGATCTGTCTCCTAGCAACGCAGATGGAGGGTTGTCCACGGCCCTGAGCCAGGGCCGTTATTGTCCCGACCCCACTCAGAGCATCCCAGACTTCAACAAGGCATTCTCATCGAGCAACATCTTCCCCAACACCAACACACACCAGCGGTCTGGCATAACAAGTAGGACTGTGTGTGTGTGTGTGTGTGTGTGTGTGTGTGTGTGTGTGTGTGTAAGACCAAGTAAAATGGTCTTACACACATATATTACATCATATTTATGTATTTAGATTCTAGAAGATGAAAATCTGAATACCAATTAACAAGTACAGTTTGCCATAAATGAATAGAGCAAAGTGAACCTTCTTCAGTGGCATTTGTGTCCATCCTAAAATAGTTATGTCTTTTGCGCCGTATGACGAAAGGCTTAAAATCAGAGAAATCTATATTTTGATGTGTGTTTCTCCACCATATTTTACAAACACAGGGATTTCATGCATTTCCTCATTGAGAGAACAGGATAAGGTTTTTATTTAAAGTCTGCGTTAAAACAATGCTCACACGCCTATATCTTCATTGAAAACATTATTGATTGCTGTAATTGTGATCTCTTCTTAGTGCAAATTCTGTGTTGCTCCATTTTAAGAATTCACTTGAAGTTATTATGAGACTTCTGTTGTGTCATTTAGACAAATCTAGTGAGTATCTTTCAGAGTTAGTCTTTTTTAGCATAAAATTTACTCTGCGTTTTCCCTGTTTTCTTACTGAGATGCATTAAAGTTATAGTTAGCCTCAAATGCATTTTTACATAGAAAAGGGACTTTGGATTTTGTCTCCCATCTCTTACAATCTCTTACAGTGGAATCACACTAAGAAAGGGTCTGTTCACAGCCAGTATGGACAGGAGGAATCCTTACTCCAATAACTTTGAATCTACAAGTATATTTGACAGACATGACCAAATGGTTTTGGATGATGACGATGAAAATAGAATTCAGTGGTATGAGCTATAACTGGAAACTAACAACTCTTCTGTCCTTTGTTGTACGTGTGTTCATGCAAACACATATACAGGTGTTGGAGTCACTCTTTTTATAGCTCTGTATGACTATGACGCCCGCACCGAAGATGACCTTACTTTTCAGAAAGGAGAGAAATTCCAAATCATCAACAACACGTAAGTACAAATGTACACTAACACAGCTGCATTTTAATAACATCTGTTTACACCCCGATAGGATTGTATTAATACACTCTGGCATAAAATATTGGTATACAAAACTTTGGCAATATGCATCGGCAGCTGAATGTTAACTAAATGTGATCAGTGTTAAATGTGTTTAATGAGATGAGTTATGACTCCCGAAAGGTAATTCATTTTGTTTGCATACATTAAAAGCCACAGGCTGCAATTAAATGCCACCCATTAACACTGTCAACTGCTGCTGGTGATGTTGACAAGCTCCTGTTTTTGAACAATGTTCCTGGCTTTGTGGTCAGCTGGCGTATTTGCTATTGTTACTATTACTCTAACTATGTTCACCACATTCACTCTTTATCTTCTTTCTCATCTGGACACCTTCCAGACAGACAGTCCATATTCATAGTTAATGTGTTTTCAGACTTTTGTTTTTTTAAAGAAGTAAGTAGGTTTTTGCACACTTTAGCCAAAATAAAGAAGTAGTTTAGTGAAATAATTGTTTATTTTGATTTCTACATTGTTAAAAATATCATTCATATATTACACCTACTTACACGTTATCCCTAAATTTAAAAACCACAGCTGCTGTTTTGCATTTCTACAAGCAAACTGATGTTTTGTGTGTATTTTTTGCAGAGAGGGTGACTGGTGGGAGGCCCGCTCGTTGGACACAGGAAAATCAGGTTACATCCCCTCCAACTACGTAGCTCCTGTCGACTCCATACAGGCTGAAGAGTGAGTACGCACACACACGGTGCTGAAAGCTGAAGTATAAGTACTGATAGCTTCTGCTGAAAGGTTTTCTCCATGATTGACATGTAGTCTGAGGGCAGAGGTCTCATGATGTGTGTGGTTGTCATGGTGACAGGTGGTATTTTGGGAAGATGGGGAGGAAGGATGCGGAGAGACAGCTGCTGGGCCACGGCAACCAGAGGGGAACTTTCCTCATACGAGAGAGCGAGACCACCAAGGGTGAATAGGCCACTATGCTACACACACACACACACACACACACACACACACACAATGGAGGTTTATGCTCAGCATACGTGAAACCTTTCAATTTCTTTCTCTTTCTCTTTACATCTCTCACTTCTCCCCCACTCTATTCATCTTCCCCTTCCCTCCTTCGTTACTCTTCCTCTCTGACCTCTTTGCAGGTGCTTACTCTCTGTCTATCCGTGACTGGGACGACAACAAGGGAGAACATGTCAAGCATTATAAGATCCGCAAATTGGACAACGGTGGCTACTACATCACCACGAGATCTCAGTTTGACACTGTGCAGCAGCTGGTCGAGCACTACACAGGTAACACACATACATGGACACAATTTCCTCCTTTTTTTCCCCTGCTTCTCCTTCAAAGCGGAAAACACGTTGTGTTGCCATTTTCTGATTCACCCTCAAGCTCAAAAGCTCCTGCTTCCATGGATTTCATCTAAAATGTGTTTTGACTCTTTGCCCAATCGTTCTCTGCCCAACTGCAAGAGAAAATTTAAGCCTAATTCTGTCTCTACTTGATTCAAGCTGTAATTACACTATCAAAAGTGAAGTAAGTACTTTTACTGGATATAAGTACAATTTCGAACAACTTTTCTTGAGTATTTTCATTTGATGCTACTTCCTGCTCCACTACATGTCAGAGGGAGAAGTGCACTTTTTACTCCACTATTTATTAGACAGCTAACAGTTGCTTTGCAAATTCAGATTTTACATAAAACGTATATGATCAGCAACATACTGTATGATGCATTGTTATAGATAGAACTACCCAACAGTTAAGTAATTAAAATGAGCTCCACCTAGACGACCTACATTAAAATTAGTCCTACATGTCAGTGCATCAGAAATAATCTACCAGTGTAATATACATAATAATACAGTCTGAGGGGGGGCCTTCCTCCCAATGAGTACTTTTACTTTTGATGCTCAGAGTACAGCTTGAACTTTTTTTATTATGAGCTGAGATTATAGTTATTGTATAGTAGTTACATGTAACTATTTTCACTATTTAAAAATTTTTGAATACTTCCTCCACCACTGACTTTTAGTGACTTTTTAGCTCGATTCAGAGATGTGGTAACAAGCAGGGTTCACACCCTCCACTTCCTCTGGCCTCTGTCAGTGTAAATCTGCCCCCTAGTGGCTTGTGTTGATATAACAAACATTCTGCAGTTGGTGACTTTACATGACACGATCATGACACACATATATTATTAACCACATATATTATTAACTTTTTTGCCAGTATACATATTTGTTTTTCTTATTAACTGTCTTGTTCCTGTATTTTTTGCTTTTGCTGCTGCTCAGATTGTGTGTTTATGTCTGAAATCTCTTTGTGCCTTTGTACTTCAGTTTTTGGTTAACTTGTCAGTTGCATAAGCGCATAAGCAACCTGTCTTGTTCTTCTTTATCTCTGCATTTGCTGCTTTTCCCCTCTGTTTTCTTCCCCTCTTGTTTCCTTCTTCTTTGCCTTTCTGTTTGTCTCTCCTCTCTCTCTCAGAGAGAGCGGCGGGACTGTGTTGCCGTTTGATTGGCAGCTGTAAGCGGGGCATGCCTAAGCTGGCTGACTTATCAGTGAAGACCAAGGATATGTGGGAGATTCCCCGCGAATCCCTCCAGCTGATTAAGAAACTGGGCAACGGCCAGTTTGGAGAAGTCTGGATGGGTAGGAATGGTTGGGACTGTGTTGCAGTGGGGGAAGGTGACAGCTGGAGCACACCTGGATAAAAAAGTATTAAAAGATGAGCAGGTATATATTAAGTCTTGGTTGTGTTCAGTTGACAAGAACATCAGTAAACGCTGCTGGTGTAAAGACACCTCGACGCCCACAAAAATACACTGTAAAGCCCTGTTTATCTGTCTGTGTTGTTCAGAGTCTGTCTCCCTGCAACAAATATACCTGTGGATCAGACCACACAAACACAGACAACACACACACAGTTGATACATAGATGTAGTCTGGACTAGTTTTTAACTGTTGCGCGTGCGTTGAATACAAACTGCATCAGTGAAACAGTGCTTAATAAATACCGATATGTGATAAGAATGACACAGGAGCAGCAGTTAATGAATACAAATGTGGTTTTGTTTTACATCCAGGTGTGCAGAGTTGTTCCCCTCCTCCCCTGTTTTTGCATGTGCATGTTTCATCATCTCACCTCACCTCTTTTTCACCCCCCCCACCCATCTTTCCACCCATCACTACACCCTTTCTCCCATTCTTCATCACCCACTTCCACCCTTTCCTTTTTCTACATCTCCACCCTCCTTGTCGGCTCCCACCTCCTCCCCTCCCCTAATAGGCAGCAATGACGGGTTGTGTTATTACCTGACCAAGCCCTGTCCCAACTCCACCCCGCTCACCATGGGCCTTGGGCGGGACGCTTGGGAGGTGTCCAGGGAAACGCTGTCAATGCAAAGGAAGCTGGGACAGGGCTGCTTCGGGGACGTTTGGATGGGTGAGAATGACACCGCCAACCTCTGACGCCCTCTAGAGGCTTAGAGGCTTAGAGGGAGAACTGTCTGTCCCGCATTGTGCTCTGTAGTGTTACTGTCCTGTAGATTGTTGGTAATGCTAAATGTCTGGCTGTGGCTGACCATTTATGTCAGTGTATGTAAGTAAAGTTTGATGTTTTCCCAGTAGCGCTTGGTATTCCCTCATAATGTATTTCCAATTACATATTTGTCCAATTCGTGTTGACATTATCACACAGTTTCCCTGAATAAATCTGAGTGTGTTGGGTTTTCTGACCCATGCAGAGTTTCTCCCTGAAGCCAGCCATGCTTTGTGCCTGTCCGTGTAACTCAGGTGCTGCTGGTGTTGATGTAAGACCAGTAAACCTCCCTAGCTCCCTCCCTAATAACATTACCCATCTCATGTCATGCATGCTCTCGAAAAAATAACATCAACAACATCATTTGCATGCACCAGAAGTTTGACCACGTGTGTATGTGTGATTGTTACAGCCTGCATATTGTGTGGCTTCTTCGTGATATTTATATCTGTTTGTGTGATTGTTTGTGTCCCTGTATAAGTAGTATGTACATTTATACAGCCATCACACTGTCAGTATGCCAGAAAATTGGCCTGTGCAGTATAAATCCGTGTGTGTCCATGTACTATATGTGCATTAACTTTCCCTTGTCTGTATGCCAGGCATGTGGAACGGTACCACCAAGGTAGCGGTGAAGACTCTGAAGCCAGGGACCATGTCCCCTGAGGCCTTCCTGGAGGAGGCTCAGATCATGAAGAGACTCCGCCATGACAAGCTGGTGCAGCTCTACGCTGTCGTGTCTGAGGAGCCCATCTACATTATCACTGAGTTCATGAGCCAAGGTATCAGGCTGAGTAAACTGTCAAGCCTGTGACGTACTGTAGATACAATATGAATCACTGCCATTGGTTGGAAACTTCACTGACCCCGAAAAGCACGCTCATCCGAAGCGTTCCTTGAAATAGGTGGATAGTTGATAAAACTGCTAATTCAGAGAGGGCATACCAACACCACGGTTCCACAATCTCTCCATTTGTTATAATACATTTAAAAATTATCAGAAACACCCTATCTTGCATTGAAATCCTTAAAATTGGATTGGATCTGGACCCGGAAACATTATTTACCTGTTACTTGGCCCCTGTCCTTTAACCATTCGTTAAAATGACAAACTTTTGAGATATCCTGCTCAGTACCAAACAGACAAACAAACAATCAAACAGGAAAATAAAAAATTGACTTTAGCAGTCAGGGAATTTATCAATTATTTTAAAATTGTCAGAAGGTCCAAGCCCTCTGAGCCTGACCACTAACCTCCCTGTGGAGGCGGTTTGGGGGCAGGTGAAACATACCTTCAATATTCCTCAAAAAGAAAAAGACAAAAGCATGAAGACATCACTGTATGCATTTACAAGCATCTATCTAATAAGAATTTGATTGGACATATATTTTGTACACAGCAATGTTAACGACAGGAGACATTAGGGGCCAGTCATAACGCTACAATCTTGGTTTTTCAGGAAGTTTGTTGGACTTCTTAAAAGATGGGGAAGGGCAGAACCTGAAGCTGCCTCAACTGGTGGACATGGCTGCACAGGTGAGTTAAACAGACACACAATGACAGACTTAAAGGAAACACAGGCTTTCACATCTTTCTGAGCTCTTTTTAAAAAATCTCTTTGTGCTTATTATAGATTGCAGCCGGAATGGCGTACATTGAGAGGATGAACTACATCCATCGTGACCTGCGAGCAGCTAACATTCTTGTTGGAGACAATCTGGTGTGCAAGATCGCTGACTTTGGCCTGGCTAGGCTCATTGAGGACAACGAGTACACAGCCAGACAAGGTAACAGTATGTGAGAATAAATGAGTGAGTGTGTGTCAGTGTGTATGAGAGAGAGCGAGGAAGAGAGACACACTTGCACAATGATTAAGAGTATCTGCCTCTGCCTCCATGCCTATATTTTTATACATAACCAATCCTAATTATATGATTATGCATCTTCACTGTGTTGCCATGGTTTCAGGGGCGAAGTTCCCTATCAAGTGGACGGCTCCAGAAGCTGCACTGTATGGACGCTTTACCATCAAGTCAGATGTCTGGAGCTTTGGCATCCTACTAACTGAACTCATCACTAAGGGACGGGTGCCATACCCAGGTACAGGATATTACTATTACTTAATCTCACGCAGTAACAGGTTGATCATCCATGGCAATGGAAATCCTTCACGATATTACTATAATATTACTATACAAACTATACACTATGACGATGGAGAGTTTGGGGGTTAACCTTTTCATTTTCAACCAGAACAAAATACATTACAGCACTGAGTGAGTTTAGGACCTCAGTGTCTCGCTCGAAAGTGCTTCAAAAGTAAAGGGGTGACCCCTTTTTTAAGCACTTTTTACTGTATGTTCTTAAGGGGTGACTGAAGCTGCAATGAATCACTATAATTTCTCTTGCTACTTTTACAAAATGTGTGGATTTTTACATACTTGTTTTTGCAGTAATTTTCCCTTTTGCTTTTTTCTTTTAACCTTAATAGGAGGAGATTGGATTTGTATCATTCAAGGGGGTTAAACTCTCTTTCCAGTAGTGTCATGTCCAAGACAGCTGCACCACATACAACACAAAAACAGAGGTCACAAAACATATACAATCATAAGGATGATGTAAGATTCATCAAATAACAGCAATAAATATACAATGACAAAGAGGATAAAAACATATGCGCAATATATATTCCTAAAAACACATGACATGCAAAAAATAGATAAAACAAAACAAACTCATGACTGTTGCCAGTTTGTGGCAGTTATATATTTCTTTAAAATTCTCTGAAACTCAAAGCCCATCATATTGTGGTGAATTAATAAATGGCAGCTGCAACCATATTTAGACGTATTTTTTTGATGATTTCTAAAAATGTTTTTTTTTTTACTATTCTCCATTTCGAATATGTGTTGTTCTTGTGTTGTTTTTTTACCCACTCACCTTCTCCTGTGTCCACATCTCCCCCTCCCTCCTCCATCCCTTTAGGCATGAACAACCGTGAAGTGCTGGAGCAGGTGGAGAGGGGCTACCGAATGCCCTGTGCCCCGGGCTGCCCCACCTCGCTCCATGAACTGATGCTGCAGTGCTGGAGGCGGGAGGCCGATGAGAGGCACACTTTTGAGTATCTCCAGTCCTTCCTGGAGGATTACTTCACCGCTACAGAGCCGCAGTACCAGCCCGGGGAAAACCTGTGACCACACACGTAGGACAGATGTGGCTCAATACACGGACAAACAGAAAGAGAATGAATGATAGATAGACAGGCAGACATGGATATATACATGCAGATACACTGATAGACATGTACAATGACACACACACACACATACTAAGATACATATCATTGCCTTGTTTAAATTGTTTAATGACAGTTTCCTCCTTTTGATCATCAATCGCTGCAGCCCATTCAGGACAGATCAGTCAACCATGTTGAAGAGCAGAGTCGGAGCTCTGCTGGTCAGGCCTTGCAGTAATGTTGCTTTACTCTGTAACCATGACAACAAGGAACTGAAAGAAGATGTAGATGGTTGTTTCGAGGTGGGGGGAAGTCGAGTTGGTACATGATCTGTTCAGCTGCCATATATGTTCAGGTCCTTTGATGTCTGTGTCTGAGAAGAACGATTTAGTCGGGCCGTTTGTTGACCTGAGATAAATATATTGATATAGAAATGACAGAAGGTGCAACAGGTTTCAAACAATAATTGGAATAGTGCCTTTAAAAAAATGTCAAAATGAACCTCATGAACCTGTGTGGTAGCTGAGTAGATTATGTACGCAGACACAGACGCTCCTATGGAAGATGCCTCCTCTTACAAACAGACGATAAAAAGGCTGTTGATCATCTGATTTCAAACTTGCAGCAACATGTGCCTTAAAGTGTCCATATTGAGGGCTGTTTTAGATTTTAAATACCTTTTGATACTGTGTTAGTAAAGTCAGAGAGATGTTAAGGAATGCTCTTTGTTTATCTGTTCATTTTTATGACAATTTTGTATGAGCTGTCTCTTTTGTTGTTTTAATTTAACTCAAATATATATGTGCATCACAAAGACTTCTATATCCAGTTATTATGTATACAGTTCTCATCCATTGGGAGGGCAGGGTGAAATGTTATACATAAAGGGGGGAAGATTGATGTCAGTGGAATATGAAAGATAGTATTTTAAATGTGTGTAACCTTTATGTTGAAATTCCCCTGTCATGTTATTGTAATAAAGACCAAATATCTTTTTCCGGTATAAGTCTCTTATTCTGTGTATTTGAACATTTATGCTGTTTTGTTTGGTGTTTTATTTTAGGTAATGTCAAAGACAGGTGCCATCAGATGCAAAACACAAGAGAGAAAGAGCATGAGTACAAAAAGTATGTCCATCAAATGACATCGTGAATTAACCTTACTAGAAATATCTTTAAAACAGGCCTGAAGTTTATATTATATATGATATTAGTGTAATTGGCATCCCTGGCGTTGCCAACTATTATCAGTCCGCTGAAAATCCTCCCACTCGCACTCGTGTCTGTGTCTCTCGCTATCTTCGCCGCCTTCCTCATTCACGCTAGCTCTCTTCCAGTCTCCAGTAAACTACTTTTCCCATAGTTCCAGAGGTGTAAAGTGAGGCCAGCTACGGGTGCCCGGATGGGTCTGACAGTCAGGCACGTTGGAGAGGCACAGCGGAGACTGGGGCGCACGAGAGACAGAGAGCTGGAATTGCAGAGGCAGAGACGCACGGGCGCACGGTCGATTTTCGCCTCCCGCATACTGGGGAGTCCCGTGCCTGTCACCAAAACCAGAGCACAGGGCTCGAGCGCGGTTATGTCAGCACCTTAATTGGGGACAAGACTGTGAACCAACCTCCCTGCTCCTCATTTTTTATTTTTTCCCTCCTTTTGTGTTTTTGCTTTCACATCTTTGTGGGTGCAGATATTGATGTGAGCCAGAGGAGCGGTTTTTCCGTTGAGCCGCACGAGACGGTGGCGCGCGACGGCAGGAGGAGAGACAACGTTTACATTGATGTGGGAGGACTATCTCCCTCCGACGCGGGGAGCCAAGATGAAGGGGAAATGCTGTGCGCTGACGGCTGCAGCCGTCAAGGCAACGGCTCCGTGACCCGGGCGAGGAGAGGAGCGAAGCACCGACAGCCGCGCGAGCCCACAGCCCCGCCAGCCAGCGTTGACACCGCAACAGCTCCACCAGCCAGCGCGAGCCCCGAGACTCTCGCTCTCTCCCTTGGTGAGTGCGCGTGCAGCTGTGTACACAACACCAAAAATTTTTGCTCACTGTCCGCTCAGCCAGTTGTGCTGCGCACCCCTGGCTACGTTTGTTTTTGAGTTTTTTACGTTAACCTCATCGGTGCCGCTGACAAACGGAGCTCTGCATTCGTACAGCTCGTGCTGCTGGGTCATCTGGGCTTTACTGTGCGTATGCAGCGCGTGCGGTGAGATCTTAAATTATGATGTTCAAACACACACGCACACACATAATGTGGTTAAATGTGCGCGCAATGAACCCAGTGTACCCCCACCTGTTTTTTTTCCTGTGTATTTACAATCTTCTCACCTATTAGCCTCATTATCACGGAATTTATACAGTGTAGGCAGGGCAACAGTATACAGTACTCCCCAGGTACTGTCACACTGCTGGCACGCACGCACACACACACACACACACACACACACACACACACACACTCTTCTTGTTTATTTGCTGTCTCCATAGACTGGGTGAGTTTGATGGGACTTTTCTAATACTGAATTTACATACCAATGACACATACCAGAGGTTTGACTGTGAGCCCAGCTCCTGATGATGGACAGATGTTTGCTTTACATGTAAACAGGAGACACAGAGTCCCGGTGAGCATCCATCCAGCCCTCGGGGTTTCCATCCCGGCAGCCCCCTGAGTTGTCAGGGCAGTCAGGCAGGACACAGCAGCAGCACATCCTGCAGTGGCAACAGGGCCGGTGTGCTGGAGAGACACGCATACTCATGGTGGTGATTATCAGCTCTTGTCTGTGGCTTAGTGGAGAGGGGGGAGGAGGGGGGGTGTACAAAGGAAGAAAGAGTGCATCAGAAACTGAAGGAGAAGAGAGCGGATGAGAGGGAGAGAGAAGTCAATGTCAGTGTCTGGGCAGTGACAGTTCGTTATTTAAGGGGCCCTCAAAGACGTGCACAGGCTGCCCTAGTGCAGGTGCCGTTAGTATGCAGAGTGATGCTCTGTCTGTCTGTCTGTCTGTCTGTCTCACACTCACACAGTCTCACTCTCTCAGATGGTGGTTGAAGAGTGAGTTCTCTTATTGGCGGGTCCACTTGGACATAATGAATAATTTCAACCCGCTCAATGCTGGAATGAAAAGGGAATGGCCTTACCCTGGCATACAGCCACTGTCTGTCAGACTTGTCTTGAGCGCATGGCCCTGTGTGTGTGTGTGTGTGTGTGTGTGTGTGTGTGTGTGACAAATAGAGAGAATGTGAACATATAACAGCTTAGGCCTATTGTGCTTCCTACCTGTGTGAGCGGGGCTAGTTGTCATAGCAACGGCCTTGTAGCTCCGTTGATGTTCCTCCTGTCCTCATTGGCAGGGTCAGCGCACCTAACACACCACATCTCGTCTCAAAGCCTTGTGTGTGTGTGTGTGTGTGTGTGTGTGTGTGTGTGTATTCATGCACATATGTACTTCCAAGTGTGTATGTGTGTGCATGCTGTGGAAGTACCTTTTGTTTGCGCCTTGCTGCAGTTCGTAGGCGTGTGGGTTGATGGCACAGACAAGCCAGTGTGTGTGTGTGTGTGTGTGTGTGTGTGTGTGTGTGTGTGTTGCAGTGTCACAAAGATACACCCTGCTGATATGACAGCCGACAGCTCAACCAATCACCTGTTTTCTTTCTCTGCCTATCAGCATGTGAGGTTGCCGTAGTCAGACGTCCTCTTGATATGGAGGTCGTCATGGAGATGGAGAAGACAGAATGGACACGCATATTCATGACACACATGCACAAACACACATAGACACATTATCAGTACAGAGTGTATATTGACATCCACTGATTTCCGGGTGTTTTGGGAACTTTTGAGGTATGTTCAGGATGGTGCAACCTGTTGAATAGTTGAATGGTGGTTTAGAAGAGTGACAGTTTATTGATGCATCAGGTCTAAATATGTAGGATAGCTCTAGAGACAAAATCAAAATCAGTTATTAAAGCTCTTTTCACACAAACACTTCAGAGCTTCAGTAATCTAAATCAGAGGATATCCTACCAGAGATTGAGTGTGTTCAAACGCTGATCCTCCCGAAACAATCTCAGGCTTATCCTTACAACTACAAAGCATCTCGTTTCATGAATTTGGCTTCTAGCTGTGGCCAAGATTTGTCAAATGCAAGAAAGAGGTTACCTTTTTTGGTCACAGATGTTTTGTAAAAGTCAGCTGAAGATCATTCTGGCACTCCCCTTTGAACTTTTCACAACAGATACATTACTGCCATTCAGGAAACGGGAATTTACACCAGCGTTGTGAATGAGTCAGGCCATTATTACTCAGCACTCGAAATGCCTCCCAAAATACACGAGAAATTGATTTTGGGGCACAGATTCACATAAACAATTGACGTCTATTCACACTGATGAATACCCAAAGCTCCAAATAAAGTGAAACACATAGATCTATTGGTGTGGAAATCTCTTCTATCAGTTTGGACTCATTGATGCTTCCAGCACCTTAGTGAAGATTTAGCCGGGTGGAGTGGTTGTCATCTTGCATTATCCACATCTACTCACGGTGACAAAATTTGGTTAGTTAGAACTTACATATTTTTATATATATATATATATATATATATATATATGTTATATTTTGATGGCTTTCAATTTGATTTCCAAATCAGAGATTTTATACTATACTGTAAGGTTTCTACTGCCTGCTGTAAAAAAAACAAAAAAAACTCCCCTTATAATAAATAAGTACCTCTTATTTTCATATTGAGTAATACAACATTTTAGGAATATTTTACAACTTATAATATTTCTCCTATGCAACAAGCTACTGGCAAAAAATAATTAGTCATTACTTTGTCCTTGGAGGGAAGGGTCCTGTCTTTTTATGACTCCTATTAATCTAATCGTCACCTGAAGTGAAATAGCTTTCGCCACTGGCAGGTAAACGTGGTTCAACTCCCACACACACACACACACACACAGGCAAATACACACACACACAAACACACAGATGCACCCACACACACAACCATTTAGCATTAGTGTAAGCAGTGTTTGTATGCTCCATTCTGTCACCTCCCACACGATACATTCATAAAACGGCTCCTCCGCGCCAAAGGCACTGGCTCAATAGAAGACATCTCCCCTTCCCATTTCTCTCGCCTCCTTCTCTCTTTTAACCCCTCTGCCCACCCACCCCCCCCCCCCCCCCCATGTATCTGTCCTTTTGTCAGTCCCTTCTTCCACTTATCTCCCTCTCTCCTTCCCTCCCTCCTTTCCTATATGTCCTTCCTCATCTACCTCCTCATTCTCCTTGTCTCCCTCACACCCCACCCCCCCACAGGGCTGGTTGCAGCCGGTTTGAGTCTGACAGTAGAGAGAGGAAGCTTCGACCTCTCACCTCCGGAGGATAGAGGGAGGGGAGGCAAGAGGAGAGGGATGATGGAGGGCAGTGGGGTGGTGGTGGTAGGGGGGGGGGTGAAACTGCAAGAGGCGAGGGAGAGGTCAAAGAACAGGAGGGATTTGCGAAGAAAAGGGGAGAGGAGAGCTGGGGGAAGGGACCGAGAGGCGCGCGCGCGAGAGAGAGAGAGAGAGGACGGAGGGGTCAGGAAGGAAAAGGAGTGATAAATGAAGGGAGAGCGGCAAGATGGATGGATGAGGAGGGAGAGATAGAGCGCATGAGAGGATGAGAAGGAGAGAGAGACAGAGTGTGAAGCTGCTGTGTACCTCCCTAACAAGCTGGACAGAATCAGCTCAATTATTAAAGAGGAGCGAGAGATGGGGAAAACACACAGACACGCAGACGTACACACACGCACACAAAAGCATCTCTCTGTGTCTGGCACACAACACATACTCGCCGTCTCTCACACACATATGCAGGCTCACACACACACACACACACACACACACACACACACACACACACACACACCTATCTGCGGATCAACATACTTACACATGTACAGTATGTCTGATTTTTATGTTTCTCATCCTCGTGCGTCAGCGTGTTAGAGTTATCCTCGTTTTTAGTCGTGTGTGAGTGTGCGTATACATGTGTCTGGGTATGTGTGTTAAAAACAGTGAGTCAGAGGATAAGCAGAGACTTGTTAGTGATTCTCCTCAACACCCCCGTCTCCCCCCCCACACTACCCAATTTGGCTTCAGTGCCGTCTCAACGTTCCACCAGCGTGGCTTCAATGTCGTCCCATCAATATGAACAGATAATCAGAGCACTAAGGGGTCTGTCTATAAATCCCCGCCGTGAATGTAGTTTTCCCCCTTTTCCCTTCCTTTCTTCTCTCCCTCCCTTCCTCTCCTTCTCCCTCCTCCTCATCTTCCTCTCTTGCCCGTTCCACCCTTGTTTCTAGTTCTCTTTCTTCTTTCCCATTTCCCTCCTTCTCTGAGGAAGTGTATGCCCCCAAGGGACGAAAAGATTCTCTACCTTCCAGGAGAGAAAGAGATTGTGTGTGCCTCTCTCTCTGTGTAAATGTGTGTCCTCCACATGTGTGTGTATGTGCCAGGATCATAGTGTGTGTGTGTGTGTGTGTGTGTGTTTGAGAGAGTGAGAACACACACTTCCTGAGAAAGGGAGAGAGAGAGAGGCAGGGATGAGCAAGTGAAGAGCGAGTGAGAGAGTGAAATCAGGAGGCTGTGGAGGGGGAGGAGAGAGAAAGAGATAAGACGAGAGAAAGACAGAGTAGTCGGGGAGAAGGGGGAAGATGGATGAATGCACTGCGCACTGTGTGTGTGTGTGTGTGTGTGTGTGTGTGTGTGTGTGTGTGTGAGAGAGAGAGAGGGAGAGAGAGAGATGGTTGAGAGAAGCAGGTAGACAGAGAGGGACGGAAGGGTTTCTTATCCTCTCAGCAGAAGTCATAATTTCTTAGAGCGTGCACAGATGTGTGTGTGTGTGTGTGTGTGTGTGTGTGTTTGTGTGCATGCCCGATTGTGTTTGTGTCTGAGAGTGTTACCTCGCTCAGGCTCGAGGCCAAGACTCTGAGAGGTACAGTGGTGTGGCGTCG